TCGGCCAGCGTTTGGCCGAGGACACGCTTTGCTGGCTTTTAAGGTCGGCAAGGCACCGCCGACGAAAGTCGAGCCCCTAGGCCGGGCTACCATTTGGTAGTTACACCTTGGAATCCCCTGCAGCCAGTGATTCTGTTCATTCCTAAGCTGACAGCACGGTGGGAGGCTGTGCGCTCGCAGGACCAATCAGCCGCCTCCCTTTCAAGCATCTCAGTGAATCCGAGGCATAACGCCGGCCTACGAATCCCCAAAAGGAAGGTTTGAATCCCTAGGAGGCGGGTTCGAATCCCCAAGAGACGGGTTCGAATCTTCAAGAGACGAGTTCGAATCTCCAAGAGGCTGGTTCGAATCATCAAAAGGCAGGTTCGAATCCCTAGGAGGCGGGTTCGAATCCTCAGGAAGCGGGTTCGAATCCCCAAGAGACTGGTTCGAATCCCCAGGAGGTTGGTTCGAATCCTCAGGAGGCGGGTTCGAATCCCGGCCGACGTGCCCGCAATCTGACGGAGGCTCATTGCGGAGAAGGCGCCGGCTAACCGAGATTTCGAGTTCCACGTCAAAAGATCTCCAGGTGGTCGAAATGAATTCTCAGTCCTCCGCTGGGGCGTGCCAGATCAATACCACCTAGAAGACAAGGCCTGCGCATGACGTTTCGTTAGTAGATCCCCGACCCGCCCCAAGCGGCAAACACCCCGAAGCTTGACGAGAGTAGGGGCCGCGTCGCAACTACGTCGTATTCATTTGCGGCCGCAGCTGTGTGCGTCACTGCTGAGCGCGAGCTGATAGCGAGCTTCCAAGTGCATTTGCGACGTGCACGCGAACGCTCCCTCGGCCAGGAGCGCGAGCTAGCACGCGCTCCTGGCTTTGGGACGCGCATTTCTAAAGCGCGCGCTCGTTCTGCGGTATAACGCTTCGAAGCAGCTGCCCGAGGTATAAACAGCGCCCTCGAAAATGGCGTCCAGTGTCAGCGTCCAGCGTCCAACGAAGGGCTTTTCAGCCCTTCGCGCAGCAGTAAGGCAATTTCGCTCATGGATTTGACGCTCCACGTGAACGTCTAACTTCATCGTATGATATTTGCAAGAGACACTCAGCGTGAGCATCTGTTTCATTATCAGTTACACAAACCACTGAAGCAGGCGATGGAGCAGACAATGTATAGCAGACGATGTCGCTCATCCGGGCTAGCTAGGGGGCGCTGAGGGGATCTACTAGTGATGACGTTTAGAGGAGGAAACGCGCAGGCCTTGTGTTCTAGGTGGTATTGGCCAGATGCCCTTTCTTGGTTTGGCACGTGGAATTCCCGGAATTTGATCTTTTTTTTTTTTTATTTTCGCCTCCCCTTCACCAGCTGACCGAACATCGCTCGGAGTAGTCGAAGCATGTGCCATAGGAATTTTGACGTCATCAGAGGGAGATCGAGTGCAGACGCCGATTGGGCGCGAGAGCTAGCCGCGTCAACGTTCGGCTGGGTCTCGGCGTCCAATCAACGCGTCGAAGAGCGCTCGGCATCGGAGTCGGGGTCCAATCGCCGAGTTGGCGCCGTTAGACCGTGATGACGTTCCATGAGGGGGCAATGTTCGCTGGCCTCGATTATTCTAGCTGGTGCTGCCTGTCCCCCCCCCCCCCCACACACACACACACACACGCACACACACACACACTGCTCTCTCTCTGCGCGTGGGTATGGGCGGGACCGCGATCACGTGGCAAAAGATAGACGTGCTACTGGTCCAAAGGAGCACGCTTCCACCGCACTGTCTCCTCAGACGGGTGAAGGGAGTTTAGTCGGCCGCGGAAGGCTGTCCACGGCGCCGGTAATATTCTACGTGCAGCCTGGTTCATCCAAGCGCGCGGCCTGAACTACTTTCGAGTTTTATCGTGTCGTCCGGAGACAACTGGACCAGCTGCCAACGGCCGCGGCTTCCGTGAGATCAGTACACTGATAAGCAGCGATTTTCCGCCGTTTCGTGACGAGTTTGCGTGAGCGACCCACGCGACAAGGGATCGCGTGATGTAGTCAATCTGGTTCTGCAAAATCAGAAACAGCAGCACGCGAAAGGCTCGTGCAACTGACTGTACTGCGTTCAACCCTACTTCCTCGTTGGATCGCGTTCCCGCCCGTATACCCAACACCTTTTTTGGGTAGGATGTGTTGGACATGCCCACGTGCAGAGAGCGGGAACTTTGATCACTTGTGATCAAAGGAAGGTGGTTGATTGGTTCAGCAAGCGCGTAGCACCCACCGCACTGACAGCTTGGAAGAGAGTGCACCTGAGACACCCTAAAGGTTTCACTCAACGTACAGGCAGCCGACGCATCGCTCTTGACCTAAATGAACCAGATCGACCCGCCTTTCTTCTGTCTGATCGGTCTTTTTTAATGATTGGGCAGGCGCAGAGCTACGGACTAGCTGAACCAATCACTCGGTGGTTTCTGAACCACGCGACAAGGCTTCCCGCACGCGGGTAGCTGTGCGCGCAGTTACGTGGTGCGAGAGCAACGGTTGGTTGGCAGAGCAAACCCGTAGCTTCCACTGCACTGACGCCATTTTAACTAGGGATGACGCGCACTTGCCGAAGTTTGAGTTAGACCAGGTTCTACTTTCTCGAGCTTTTAACGCGAAGTTCGACTGGAGTCCTACTGTAATGCACATGCGCAGAAATCGAGAACTAGCTGACGCCATCTTGCGAAGGAAAAGTGCAATATTTATTGGATATAACATTTTACTTCTTAAGATTAATAAACGAAGACATTCAAATTAGTTTTGGTAATCATTTTATACGATATAAAATGAATTACTTTATAGACAATGTTCTCCCCCAATATTCGATTTTTTTTTTTTTTTGAGAAGTCGGACAGCGCTGTTTATGGTCGTGTTCCAAAATGCGCTCGATCTCACTCTGAAGTAAATTTTATGTACCTTGGCGCTCGAAAGCCTAGCCGCGTCCAGCGTTGCTCTACTTGTGTTGCCGTGTGACATGATCCGTCGGAGTAACTCGGATCCATTCGTGTAAGATTTGGAACACGGCCCATAAAGGCCGGTTCACACAGCGCAGCACCGATTAGGTGCTGCGCTATATGTGTGAACCGGCCTTCGGTCGAATTTCGTCGAACTTTGCCAAAAGTTCGAAGATACGCGAAAAGTTCGCGACGGTTTGTGCGCGCGCCGCACAACCGGACATTTCTTAATGATGGCAGTCACAGAACGACTACGACGCCGGCGAGCTCACACACACCTAAAAATATGCCGAACCAGGCGAACCTCGAGGTTCGGAAAACATTCGCGAAAAGTTCGCGACGGTTTGCGCGCGCTGCACAACCGGACATTTCTCAACTATGGCAGTCACAGAACGACAACGACGACGACGCCGGCGAGCGCACGCACGCACACACAAAAACAAGAGACAAATTGAAAAGATTTGCGTCGGAGCTTTGCGCTCTACGAAGAAAGAGGTCAGTGGTCAGGTGTCGTCCGTCTCGCGACCAGTGCCGCCCTCTTTGCTCACTCGGCGGCGAAACGAAAAAGAGTTCCGCCCCTCTCTTTGCCCATTTTCGCGCCCGATTCTCTCGGCCGTCCTTTTGTGTGTGTGTGTGCTTGTCTGTAGCGGGGGGTGCACACGTGGCGTGGCGCTTCTTTTTCTCCGCGCGAGACGTTGGCGGCTTCCTTCACCTACTGGCACACATTTTCGGCGCGGAACGTTTGTTTTCGTGCAGCGCGTGCGAGCGAGCGGCTTCTCTCGCCAACGGCCCCGCGATTTGCGTTGTTGTCTTCGCGGGGGTTGTCGTTGTCGGCCGTTCTCTTTCGCTTTTCTGATTTGTCTTTCCGCACTTCCTTACTTTTAAAATGCGCGAACGTTTCATTAGTACTTTAAATTCTACTTTATTATTTTTTTTCATCACGTAGCCGGTTTGTTAGATATCGTCAGTCCACTTTAGAGCAACAACGTGTCGAAACTGTCGTTATTCTCTGAAGCTTAATTAAGCCAGGCTTCGGAGTGGTAATGACATACGAGCCATCTTGGTTGCCAGTCGTCATAAGCCTTGTCTGAAATCTCCGGAAGCGCTTTTCCGTCCTCCAGAAATGCTAGAAACGATTCGCGGCAGAGCAAAGCGATATCGCCTGCACCATAGGCATGAGGATCAGGAAGGCGCATTTTAGAATCGTATATTGGCATTTGCGGCCGCTCTGCGTCGAGCACCAAAAATGGCGGCGCCCACGAGGTAACCGGGGCTGGATTGGCGACACTCTAAGTCTAACCTAGGTAACCTATTCAGGGCTCCATTCGGTTCGTCAGGCATCTTCAGTTCACCTGCATTTCCCAGTCTTCAAAAAAAAAAAAAAAAAAAATTGCATTTGGCTGTTTTTTGCGTATTTATTTGGAGAGAAAAAAAGTGTACCGAAAAACTCGTGTACATCGACATACAGGGCGCTGGGTGTTACTGCGCAGTGTTCATACGCCGCGGAAAATAGTTCTTACAAGATTTGGTTCTCCGGAGGAAGAGGCGATGCTTTTTGGCATTTGAAGCGTGTCTTGAAAAGGGAACATATATCTGGTCTAAAATGTACCTAGTTATATCTCAATCCTCCACGTAAACAGGAAAATTGGCGATGCTGCGCGTGGAGCCGGACTTTTTCTTCTTACTACGGTTCTTGAGGTGAGAACGAATATAGGGAAAACGCGTTGGAAGGATTCGAAATGTTAGTTGAAGCCTCCAACCGTCTAACCACAAGGCCTTCTTTAAGGCCTTAACTTGCTCGGGGTTTCTTCGGGCCTTGGAGAAGTTGTCGGCCGCCACTCTGAGGATTTCTTCTTTTCCCCGGTATCTTGTGGTGTGCAATGACTCTTTAATTTTTGTACTTCGTCCGCCGCTGAGGAAAACTGCAATGATGGTATCGCAACGTAGATTTGTTTTTCTTTTCTTTCTATTGTTTCTAATTGCCGCCGTTGCACTACAGAGTCTGAAACAATGTTGCTGATGTAGTTCTTTTTCTTTTCCTTCAGTCAACCTCGCTGGACATGGGAAAGTGGACATGTCAAACTTCGACCTCCTCCGTGTGCTCGGAACGGGTGGTAAGTGAATTTCCTCTTTCCCGCAAGTACGAAACTGCATTGCTGCTGCTTTCCCGCGTGTGCGAAACTGCGTCGGGGTCATCTCGTGACCGCGCTTCGCGGTGGCACGGCGCGTGTACGCTGAGGAACGCCCATTTACAGGGAAGGCTGAGCAATTACTTTTGCTTTCGAGGAAATGAAAGGACAACTTATAACGTGTCTTTCTTTTTTTTTTTTTTCTTTCGTGGGAAATCACTTTTGTGTCTCAATAACAAAACGTGAAAGGGAATAATGATAATAAAAACAAAATAAAGACGGAAAAGCTCCGCATAGTAGCGAACAGGAACACACTTTTTGGAGATGTCGGAAGTGCACAAAGCTTTTGTTAATTACTCAAGTCTACCAAACTTTTAAACATTGGACGGGTTTGTTTTGGCATAAAATTTTGTGCTTCAAAAAAACGAAAATTGCATAATACCTGCATAATTGTATAATTTGATCACTAACTATTTCTGTTTGCTTTCTCCTCAAATCATCTTCACCTTCGTGACCATCGTTTGGCTTAGTTAATTATTATTGCTCCACTTATTAAATATATGGTTTTTGATAAGCTTTGCTTAGTAGGAATCAGTTCTGTTCTCTAGAAAATGAAATCGCGAACTTGGCGAGGATCGAGTTCGACCAGGTTCGAAGCGTTTTTGGAACACGTAAGTTCGAATTTTGTGCGCATGCGCTTAAATTTAGAACGAGCTGACGCCACCTGGTAGAGAACAAGTGCAATATTTATTGGGTGCATTGGTTCATTCTGCATTCATTGGTGCATTGGTTCATTTGAAAAATATTCTATTTCGGCACAACAGGTACTATTGTGACACGGGAGATGAAAAAAAAAGCTGCTGCTGTCAGCATGACATGCTTCATGGTCCCTGAAATTTGTTTCAACGGTGCGGGGTGTTTCAGCGAAGACTCGGAAATTCGTACCAGTATAGGCGAGATCGAACTAGCAGCCATGGCGTGCGCCGGTGATCGTAAAAGCATACTTATTCGTTCAGTAATTACCTAAAATTTACTCAACTTTTTAATTCGGGAAAAAATATATATTAGAAACTTGCTGAGCGTCATTGAAAACCCCCAAATCAGTCAGTGTTAGGAAGCGCGGGAGTGCACTAAAGTTCCCACCTGTGCAGCAGGCACAAGGCTGGCGATGCACAAAACGCGGGTGATAAAAATGCCATCCGCGTTTTTGCGACACTGTTTTGTAAGTCGGACTTCGTCAAATTCTGCTAAGATCGGAGGCTCGTCGAACCGACAAATTTCGCGACATTCCTACTACAGCTTGCTCCGCGTTCGTTATATGTTTTTTTATTGATGCTTTTTCAGTAGCTTCTATGCGCTCTCTATGATAAAAACCGACTTACTCATAATTACTTGAGTCTTCTGCTGCAAAGCGCCCCTTGTGCGCGTTAACGGCGAAGTCAGTGAAGTGGATTGCAAGCTTAATTTTGTGAATGAACTAAGGACAGAGTCCTAATCCTTGCCTCACGAACCGTTAGAATAGTTCAGAAACCGTTGGCAGTTGTGGCGCCGCGTTCTGTAGAGGACGGATTTGAAGCAATCACGACCATCTTTGGTGCAGAAAAAAGCAGGTTCTACTTAGAACTCGGTGGGGTCAAATCAGGAATCGCTATATTCAGGGATGACGAGAGCGAGAAGCTCAAGATACAAGAATTCACAGTTGAGGAAATCAACGAGTAGGATCACTTTGGAATAGGGATTAACGACGGTACAGGATACCTAATTGTCATTTCAGCGTGTGAAGAATGCCACTGATAAAGGCAACATGAATGAACTATAACAGCTATGAAGTGGTAAGGGCGACTTTGAAAGGGGTTATGATGCCGGTCCCTACTTTTGAAAATGTACAGCGAGGGCTCAACGTTTAGGAATGTTTACGCAATATAGAAGCGACGATATGTGGTTTTACATGCTTTCGTTGGGTTAGTAATGTGAAACAATGAAACAATGTACCCCAGCAAATATTGCACTTTTCCTCTGCCAGGTGGCGCCAGCTCGTTCCTCAACTTTCGCGCTTGCGCACGAAGGTCGAACTTTAGTCGAAATTTGTCAATTTCTTTTCATAAAAGTAAAAAAAAAAGTCGAACCTGGTTGAACTGGCGACAGAAAAAATGTAAAGGGGGAGCAAAGTGGCCTAAAAGGGCAATATAATGAATCATACTTTTGGTTTCTAGGCTAGGTGGCGGAAGCTACCGCCCGTTATAAAGTGTACGGTTATTAGCATTGATCCATCCAACCGTACATGAACAATAATTCGAGCTTTCGCCAGCTTTCGCTTTCGCCAGCTTTCGCTTTCGTCTCTGCGTTTTCTTTTTTTTTTTTTTCTTTTTTTTTTTTTTTTGGGGGGGGGGGGGTGCTTGCACTCGTAGAATTCTCAGGAAACGTCCATCGTCTTGAGTACTGTTTCGACCGCGGTTGTGTGAAAAGTTCTCCAGCTGTGTCGAACCTTTATCCAATCTGCCCACGTCCCGGTAAACATTGGGCTTTGGGACCAGAAACGATGCCGGGGGAAAAGTTCGCGCTGCATAGCGCACAGCAAAACACAATGGAGGCGTTGGCTACGTGCGTAGGCGCTAACGGCCCAGCCGCAATGGCAAGTGGAGAAAGACCTTGCGGCTGTGCGGAGAGAGCGCGCACGAGGGGGGAAGAGGGACCAGCGGGCCGCAGCAAGTGTGTCGCGGCCTCAAAAATGCTCTGTCTCCCCATCTGTGCCAGTGGGTGAATGTCAGAGCCGCCGCGATGAAGCAACGGCCCATCAGGAGTCGGGCGGGCTGCCGAAGCCCAATGCGCGCGCTTCGCCGCTTTCTCTCTTGGCCGGCTTTCCGTTGCGCGCGTGGCGTGCGTCGGCGCGATCATTAGGCTCTCTCAGGGGGAAGGAAAAAAAAGTGAAGGCCCTTGAAAGCGTGTCGTAAGCCTCCCCCCTCCTATCTTTTCCGCGGGGTTTTACCGGAAGAAGGTAACTGTCCCCCGTTACTTCCGCATTTGTACGGCCCTCGCCCCTGATTTCCCTCAACGGGTGCATCCCAGAGGCTTGTGATCAAACCGACTGGGAGGCGCCTTTCCTAAAGCTAAAGCCCCTTTAAACGGAAAAGTAACGTGATTCCCCCTCTCCCAGCTTCTTTCTGCCTGGCTGCACGGCGCCATTTTTGAGCGAAGGCGTCGGTGAGAAGGAACAGTTTAAAGTCACATTACTTTTTTCTTCCTTTATAAATGGTGTTTGATTTTAATTCGAACATAATTAAAAAAAAAATCCTTAAAAGGTACACAATGTGATCTGTGCATGTGGGCTATACGGCCACGGGGATATAATGTAGGGTGCTGATCGTCACAATAAGGAATTATTAGCTCAAATTTCTTGATTTTTAATTGGTAAAATGAACTTGTGGTTCCAATTGGAAACTTGACGAGTGTCATTGTAAACCGCTAAATTATTCAACTTTAGTAGGAGTTGAGGTATGTGGGAACCGCCAACCTTGCACCTGTTGCATGACTGGAAACTTTAGCACACTTACGCGCTTCCCACACGCTTCAAGTTCTTATGATGGTTGCCAATTTAGTGGTTTTCAATGACACTCACCAAGTTTCTAATTGAAAGCACATGTACGTTTTTACTCGTGAAAAAAATAATAATAAAAAAATTTAAGTTAAATATTTGACTTATCATGATAACAGCACCCTACATTTTGTCCCCATGGCCTGATAATTCACCTGCATAGACTGCATTAGTGTACCTTTCACATTTAGTTTTTTAATAAATCTGTTTGAACTAAAGTCAAAGGCCTACGTATGCAGGGGCTTTATCTGAAACAACCACAATTTGGAAGGTGGGCCATAATCCTGGTAGCCGGAAGGGGTTGTCAAAATCGGTGAACCAACCGACCCACTTTTAAAAGTTATGGAATACTTCGGGTTGGCTGATTGGACGACTAAAATTCATTGTGCTAGCGCCGACCAGGGTAAATTTTGGTTATAGAGATATCACAAACCTTCTGGGGTTGGACTTTTTCTAACTTTTAGTTCTGTTCCACTATTGCTTGCATGCACAAACGTTGAGAATGAGCTAGCATCGCCTGGTAAGGTGTGCAGCGATGTAAAAAAAATAAAAGTGTTTACTTTTATATTGTGTAAACATTGGAAATTACTCTTTAAAATTTAACACAGGTTATTTTACAAATTACTTTTTACCAACATTTAAAATTTTTTTGTAGAAGTCTGGCAACACTGTTTTGGAAGTGGCCTTCTAGGCTAGGTGGTGCAGGCTACCACCTGTTATAAAAGGTACAGCCATTAGCATCCATCCATCCATTGTCAAATTTTGCCAAAATTGGGAAGGTTTGCCAAACCAGTCAAAACTTTGTGAACTGTGCATAATTTGCTTTCCCACAAGCTCAGCTTGATGCATTAAAAAAATAAGTATTGCCTCTATTGTGCAGCACATCACAGGTAAAATGATATAACTAAGAAGAAAACTGTTTTCCAGAAATTGGTTTCAGTGTGATTTCAACATTCGGGTTTTCACACCAAGCTAATTCAATTCCCTGCTGGCAATGATTGCCACACCCTGCTTCCAGTTCAGCTTAGTGTGCACCAGACCATGTGCCAATTCATTCGAGCAAGATATAACACTAGAAAATTTGGGATGTATCAACAGCTTTTCAGTTCTTTCCAAGGACAATAACTTATATAACACAGTCTATTTTGTTTAGTTACTGGCATTAATATTTGAAACTCTTAGTTATAATGTTACTGCAACATTACAATTATATTCCTTCCTTCGTGGATGATTTATTTAAAATATAATGGTGATTGCTTAAGGTTCCTTCCACCCAAGATAAAAGGTGCAGCAGTAATATGTACTAAAAGTGGCAAAAACGGGGACAGAGTGAGGATTGACAGCAACGCCAGGCCTTAAGTTGTCGCCGATCCCTACTCTGTCCCTGTCTTTGGCACTTCTATAAACTAGCCCAACTCTGCACATTTTTTGCAGTAACATGTCTCGTAAATGACGCAATTCAAATGATTTGCACATTGCATGGGACCATATAAATGTTCATTGTTCACAAATCATTGTTTAATTGTCCATGGCTAGTCTGTATGGGTCATACCTTTGTAAATTGTCTAGGTGTTGCCAGTGCCCTAATTTACATTTGCCTAAACTGAAAGGAAGGGGGGACAATATGTGATGCAAAAACCTCTAAACGTTTTCCCTACATTGCTTGGGCTTGAGTTGAACTCCAGGTACGCCGATGGGGAACCTTGACATTTAGACCAGTGCCCGTCATGCCGCCCACCCTAACTCCATTCATGGCACGCGAAGAAACGGAGAAAAGGGGTAGAAAGAAAGGAAGGTGAAAAAAAAAAGAAAAGAAAGCTTCTCTCTCACAATCGAGGAAGAATGGACGGAAGCAATTCCGTGACCCACTTGTCGGGGAGAGCCCTCGGAAAAACACCAGCTTCCTGCCTCTTTCCCACTTGCTTTACTCAACGGCTGAAAAGACGCCGTGGCACAGAAATATTGCAAACTTATAGCAAACAAACAATCAGAAAACATAGTCTATGCTATCTCGCGCCGTTTCTCTTGTAACAAGCTTTGTTTCGCTTGGTGGACGGAGCCGGACTATCTGACATCTCCATTCAGAGATGACAAGCCAGATGACCCGCTGCCTCCCTCGGTGACAAGCGTGGGAAGTGAAAGTAACGGCCATGCTGAGAGCACACTGAGAAAGACTGTCGAGAGTCCTCCTCCGTGAAGTAGTGTGTGCGTTGCAAGGGTTGGAACCAGCCTCTGTAAAGTAAGATACACATTGCAAGTGTTCAGACCAGCCTCTGTGAATCAGTATGCACATTACCAATATTGTATGAACCAGTATGCACATTGCAAGTGTTGAAACCTGCCTCTGCAAAGTAGTATGCACATTGCAAGCATTCAAAACCCCAGCCTGTGTAAAGTAAGATGCACATTGCAAATGTTGAAACCAGCCCTCGTGAAGCAGTATGTGCGTTACAAGTGTTGGAATCTATCTGCCTCTGCGAAGTAGTTGCATGCATATTGCAAACGTTAAAAGCTGCTGTGGAGTAGCATGCTCATTGCAAGTGCTGAGACCAGCACTTGCAAGTGCATACGACACTCAAAATGGGGTGAAAGGCAGCAGGTGTCGAGTTGTTTCCGCTGGTTGATCTCACTGCTGTCATTTTGGCCCGTTTTGCAACCCTGCTACAAGTACGCTGCAGCTTTCACTTTTTTTTTTATGCAGGTGCTTGAGATACACAATAAAATTTAAGCATTGCTTCTCTATGTAACAAGCTTGCATTCTTTTTTGTGCTTCTGAAAATATTTTTTTATTAGTTCAAGTTAAAAAAAGCTACACCCCTTTTTTTTTTTTTTTTTTTACCGCCAAGTATATACAATTGTTCTCGTTGGAATTGTTTGCCATGACATTCCCTACCCCTCGAGCGTATAGGCTACAACCTTTCACTGTTTTTTTTTTTTTTTTATGTATAAAAGTTCTACATGTATGCTTCCTGGTACTGTCCCCCCCCCCCCCTCCCCCCCCCCCCCCCCCCCCCCTTATGTAATGCCCCAGTGGGGCCATTAAGGATCACTAAATGATTGAATGAATGAAACATTCATTTAGCTTTTCTCTGCCTTTTTCTCGACATTTGTGTGGCTAACATATTTATAGAAGTGCAAAAGGTCTGCTGGTGTTAGTGGTGTTCCTTAGCATTAGAAAGTGAAAGGTTAGCATGGCAAACTAGCAGCTTTGAGTGCCGGTAAAGGGCACATGAGCTTTGCCTCTTGACGTTGTGGACTCGAGCGGCACAGATGCTTCTATAATTTCTCAGGCTAAGAACCAGTTCATGACAGAGGTCTTCCATTTGCAGTGCCTACAGATGCCACATAGTCAAAGTTGCAAATCTCAAAATTGTTTTGGCTCCTGTAATTTCACTAAAGTGATACCACGATTGGTGATATCACTATGAGCTGGTGATGGAGATTTAGGCTTCCATCTCAAGTTACTAAGACCTGTTTTAAGATTTCCTTGTTACGTTTACTTTTTTGTACATTATAATCCCACCCACTTCTGTAATGCCACTGGGCCCTGAGGGTACCGATAAATATATAGATAAAATAAATAAAAGTGAGATTATATTACATGAGTGTTTTCAAGGCTGCTTTAAAAGTAATTGAGTCTTCAAGTTACTATTTGAAACTCACTTAACATGTGTGACCACTGATCATTAATGTCCCTAGTTCGGGCATTGGATTTGATTTATTTACCTTAAAAGTATCCCTAACCAATACATTATTTAAGAAGATGCTAGTTTACAAATTTATATTTAGCCTAGAAGTGAAGATAAGAGACATAGAGAAAGAATGCCAAACACAGGTTTCATTCCTGTCAACATTATTTACAAGTGGAGTCTGCATGTAGTGATTGCTAATATGAAAGTGTGGGCAAATTGGTTATTTGCATTGCATTCTTAGTGTTTCCGGGGGAAGCGATGGAATATCTAGCGAGAAGGAATCATTGATGCTAAGCAGGGCATATGTTGTGAACCATGTGGTCTTGCATTTTTTTATGAGTCTGAACTGACCTGTCTGGTAGGTTTTGCCAATAAACATCAGTTGGAAGTCAGTGCTACGATGTGTTCCTTCTGTCCACATTTATGTTTTGCACTATACATCTTGGAATGTAGCTCATAAATTTTGGGGTAGATTTTGTTTTTACTGGTCAGTTTTATCGAACAAAGTTCAAAGGTGTGCCCGTATCCCAACAAAAAATTTTGGCCGATGCCCTTTATCTCCAAGCAGCACCAAAGTAGAGCTTCTAGAATGCTTCAGATTGCTATGGATTTAGGTGCCGAAGCTTAGGGATTAAGGTGGCATCATGGGCATTTTTGTGCAGGACTGAAATCTGGGATTAGTGCACGAAAGACTAGGACTGCGTGGAAGAAATAGACTGGACAAGTGCTCATCAGCAGCCCCTGACACTGTAGGGTAGTCAGTTAGTGCTTGTCCCATATATAGGGTATTTGAAATACCCAGGTTCGATCTAAAATAGGTTGTAAAAATCGGCGCCTGCGCGTAGCAATCTAAGCATTTCGTCAAAGGTGTATTTCACAGGTTTGTTTTATCATGCAAAATTACAAAGCATAGCACCATTCCTGTAAAAATTAGGGCCAAGAAAATTGCCAGGGTCAGTGGCGGATGGCGACGAAGACAACAGAGCCGAGTGGCGGGGCGTGTTTGGTGCACATATTGATAGATGGCGTCACAAGCAGTGTTAGAAGTTGTAGCGGATTAGCGAAAGAAAGCAGATGACACCCAGGCGAATTCCGTTGGCAGCAGGAGCGCCGTCATTATGCAACTATGTTTTGTTTTATTTTTGTTACTTCAAGTTTTCCTATCATTGTTCGTGTTTATTTTTAAACCAAAGGTACATTACAAAAAGATTATGTTCATTTTACTAGACCATGGTCATCACAAACGGTCTGGATAAGAAGGTAGCACAATTTATCAATATGTGTGCCAAGCATGCCCTGCTACTTGACTTGGACGTCTGCGTTGCCGTTTGCCGTTGATCTTGGCAAGTTCTTTGGCCCTACTTTTTACAGGAAGGGAGCTACGCTTTGTAATTTTGCATGACAAAACCAACCTGTGAAATACACCTTTGACGAAAAATTTAAATTGTTATGTGCAGGCGCTGATTTTTACGGCCCATTTTAGATCGAGCCTGGGTATTTCAGACACCCTACAGTTCTTTCCCTTGATCCTAGTCTTTCGCTCGCTGTTCCCATATTCTAGGTATCAAGGCTGGTTCACATATTTGAGTTCTTTTGTAATGGCTTACCGCCTTGGCACTGTTTATTCGGTAGCTTGGAACACTTCAAACCTGTGTGTATATTTTTCTAATATTTTATGCATCATTCTTTGCTTGAAGCAATTCAGGCATTTTTGTGGACAATGAAAAAGTTTGGGCTTGCAAATCTTGCTAAACCGACATACTGAAACTTAAAGGGAAGATGGGGCACTTCCACATTTGAGAAAAAACGCTTGAATCGCGTTCATTTGGCCTTTAGAATAACAGATATCACAATTATATTTCAATGCGACGCGCCGGAGAGCCATAAGAGCAATTTGAAAATAGGGCTGAAGCCCCGCCTCCCTAGCCTTGGCAAGCCAAAAGATCCGTCGATGACGTCACGCACAGCGACTGTCTTTCGCGTTTTTCTCGCGTTTAAAAATACTTGCGCGGCAAATGGTTTTGGTATTCGGGTTCACGAGGTAAAAATACACTAGAATTCGCTTCTAACTCATTTTTTTCAAGAAGCTCCGTAGCTTCCCTTTAAGATGGAGGCAAAAAAGGACGGAACACATCCTCTCGATACATGTCGTCTCTGTTAAAAGGTTTTTCCTTTTTTTGCTTCAGTCTCGGGTTTGAGTAGGTATGTTGATTCACAACCAGCTTGCCTGCCTAATAATGTTGGCTGCAAAACCTTCATTTAGTTATAGTTGAGTTGAAAGTGTTCCAGGGCCGCCCAGTAGCATCACCATCACCAGCGTGCCAGCATTATTTTTTAAAATTTATTTAACTTTGTATTAACTTACTGCCGGCCGTGATAAAAAATACTATCAAGGAAATCGCACCCATTTTCACTATATACAGCATCCGTGGATCGGCATGTTCCATTTGTTGACACATTTAATGCAAGAAGATTTGCTAAAAGAGTCCGTGATGAAGCGATGAGTCAAAGCTAGTGGTTACAGACCAGCCTTTAAGTGATGACAAATGAGATACAATTGGGAGTTGGAAGACACATATGCACGTCCACTGCAGATTCCCTTGGTTCCCAGATCGATAGATGCCGTGATCGAAAGGTTATAAGGCCTTTGTGTGATGACGGCCTCTTTGTGACATTGCAGCGTACGGGAAGGTGTTCCTGGTGCGCAAGGTGGGAGGCCAGGACGAGGGGAAGCTGTACGCCATGAAGGTGCTCAAGAAGGCCTCCATCGTGCAGAAGCAGAAGACCCTGGAGCACACGCGCACCGAGCGCCAGGTCCTGGAGGCCATCCGCCAGTCGCCCTTCCTCGTCACCCTCCACTATGCCTTCCAGACCGACGCCAAGCTACACCTCATCCTAGGCACGTTGCCCTTACATTGCTCTTAGCTAGTAAATGAGGCAGGTACGGTGCACATGAGCTAACCTAGACTGAGTGAAGCTAACCTAACCTGGCCTAATCTCTACAAATCTGACTTAGCCTAACCTAACCTAACCTAACCTAACCTGACATAAATTAAAACTACTTTAAAATATCGTGGAAGTGCCCACTTTGTTCAAGTACCCACTATTAACATTTTCAAAACTTGTGAATTTTGCAAATTATACATTAAGCATCTGATTCGGCCGGACAAGTGCCCATGTCTAGATTGACCCACTTTTCAGTGAAAGTGGGGTGGGCACTCGCCCGGTATTTTATGGTAACCTGACCTAAACTAATCTAACCTAGTTCAGCCTAAACTTATCTAACCTAGTTTAGCCTAAACTAATCTAACCTAACCTGACCTGGCCTGACCTGACCTGATGTAAAGTAACCCTGGACCTGACCTGACCTGACCAAACATATCATAACCTAGCTAGCATAATCTGTCCCAACCTGACCAAGCATAGCCTAGTCTAGCCTAGACTACAGGAATCTTTTAACCTAAATTAAGCTGATCACCTCTCCTAACCTGACTTGACCTGATCTGACATATTATGATCTAACCAATTTAGCCTAAACTAATGTTTCCTTGTCTGTACTCAGTCTGGAGTCATTCCGACTGTGAGCCAAACCTACGAGTTGCTTACTTCCAATCCTGAGCATGTAAATGCCATCTGATTTCAGTCTGCTTGAATGCGGATCTTTGCTAGGTGAATCATGGGATGCGTTAGGGGCACGGTTCTATAGTAAGTTACAGCTCAAGAATGTAGGGCGAGGGAAAAGAGGGCCAGGGAGGAGGAAGCACATGGAATGCTGAAGAGGAGAGGGGGAAACCCCCTCCTCTTTCCAGCGTTTCGTCTGCTTCCTGCTTCCCGGCCTTCGTTTCCCTCACCCTACCTTCTTGAATTGCAATGGACCGTAGTGTGGACGGTTTGTAGTTCTATCTCAACTTAGAGGGAAAAATTACACTCTAGTTTATTCTAAACTAATCTTAGCATAATGCAATGCAATCTTTTAATCTTTTTTAACCTGATTCATGATGAGCTAAACCTATACTAGTAACGTGCAATATGTGCATGTGCCTAATTTAAGTAAAAGACAGACATATAATGTGAAACACTGTAGAGTACCATAATAAGAACACGGTTGCTAAGTAGAGCTGCAGAATAACTGATAAATTATATCAACAAATGTAGAATTTTCCAAATTGAAGCTAATTTGAGAAACATGTGACTCGGTCCAAAATTATCCTAGTTCTCAGTTGCCCACACAAAAACAAGATTTTAATGCAGTTAATTCTAGGTGAAACTTTTGAAGACTTGGAACATCAAAACAAAAAGAATATAGCCACCCATTTTTGGTCCTCACTTGAATTACCCTACGTAAAATACCGAGCAAGCGCCCACTCAAAATATGAAGATAATCGCGAAAACTGGGGAATGAGCGCTTGTTAGGTGATTAATTTTACCTATATATCTACTGTGCATATTTTTTCAGATGCTGCAAACTTTGGGGGTGGGCACTTAGTAGAAAATGGGCGGATGCTCGGTATTTTATGGTATATATGTTTTATCATTGCTAGCCAAGAGATGGGTGCCAAAAAACTTAAAAGAATTTGGGTCTCATCAGTTGAGATAAAATAGCAAAACTTGTTAGAGAAGGGGGCATACATCATAATTTTAAAAGAAAAGTGAAATGTTACTGTTTGAAATTGACTGATTTTTTAATTTGTTTTGGTTGAAATGGGGAAGCACTGAGGAGCACACTTGATTACTATTTCAAATAACTTACAGGAGATAAGATCTGGCACTTGATTTCTCGTTTTAACAAACATTTCTTCATTGCAGATTACGTCAGTGGGGGAGAGCTCTTCACCCACCTCTACCAAAGAGACCACTTCACGGAACCCGAAGTCAAGATTTACATCGGGGAAATCATTCTGGCTCTTGAGCATTTACACAAGGTAAAGAAAGGAACAGTTCGAGTCAGTCTTCCTAAAGTATGCTTTGTTTTTGTGGTTTTAAGCATTTTACGTTTTCTGTACCTGTCACTCCAGACTGTTTCTGAAGCTTACCCTGGTGGTTTGATCTTCAGTACTGGAGATCAAATCAATAGGACTGATCCTCAAGTCCCTGATCACCCTTCTTTAGGCCAATTAGGTTGATTGCACAAGCGAAATCCAGGGAGTTTAATAGCTATATAACGGACGAAATGATGAAAGGCATTGTAGTTTATTCACATCTAAGCTGGCCAATGTGGTTAAAGCCATGTGATCGTTGGACCGGTTAAAGGTCTAAATTTAGCCACGTGGTCACGCTCCCACCCACACCCATGAGCATGGAGAAGGGTCAGGTGATGAAAGGGAGGCGGTTGATTGGTCCAGCGGGCACGTAGCTGCCTCTGCACAGCCAGCTTAGGAGTGAATGAAGTGTAGCAAGGAGCGGAAGCCAATTCACAGAAAGGGGGACTTTCTGAAACAACATCGTGAGGAAACGGCCTTTTGGCTTCCTGGAAAGTTGCTGAATGTACGTTGGCAGAAATGCGAAGCAGCATCTGGGCATTTTCATGACCATCTTTTAGGGCGACTTGACAGATGGAAAGCAGCTGTTTCGTTAGACAATGCTCCGAGGGCTGCATCTGTTGAATGACGGGGGCTACCTACGCGCTCGTGGGAGTGCCCAGATTTCGAGGCTGCACATTGGCATCGGACGCAGGAAAGGACAAAGTGCGAGCCGAACGGGTAATCTGGACGGATTCGTGTAATAATAATCTTTATTTCCTTTTTTCATTTCATTCAAAAAGAGGAAGGCAAGGCGAAAAGCTGCTATATTTGCAGCCTGATGAAGCATTGCCTCCTTCAAACATTATAAAAAAAAAAAAAAAAAAAAAAAAAGAAGAAAACTCCAAAAAACGGGAAAATATATTTTAAACAGTAAAAGAAACAAGTCAGCAACAAAGCGATAAAAATTATAGCACACTCAGCCAATTTCCAATGTCAGGCTGCATAACATACTCTCTGATTCCCTTGTAATATCCATGTTTTTACCTTCCAGTTCATCAAAAAGATGTTTTAAAGGGACTCTGACAGGGTATTTATGTTCGTTAAGGTTTTTATTCGTACATGACATATGAGAGTCCAACTACCCAGAGCACAATTTGCGGCACGAAATTTGCTTTCTTTCCGCCTGAAAAACACCGAGCAAGGTTTGAGTCGCGCTCACTCTCTTGTCTGTGGTCATGTGCCGTTTTCCATGGTTTAGACACAACTACCAAGATGATCAAAGTCATGGGTCATCAAAAACATGCGCTTAATATTAAAAATACAGGAAAAATACAATGCCCATTTTTGTGGCTCGTAAAAGCTGCAAATACGTTGATTGAAAAAAAATAAAAAAAAAAAGTTGCACAGCCACGTGATTTTCGGCATCACTCGCCTCATCTATATTTCTTCTTCCAGTTTCGGTTTCGAGCAATTGCGTTTTTTTTTACTTCATTTAAAATTTATGTGACACCGTAGCAAAATATTTATTGGGTAGTCTTGTGACATCATAATAAAATGCCTAACAAAAAATAAAAAAATTAATTTGGGGTAGTGTCAGTGCTTTAAGGATGTTAGACCATAATCAGTGCTTGCAGCAGATGTGGATTTGTGCGTTAGGCTTGAGGATTAGGCTCGAGGGGGATATTTAATAACACAACATTAATTACAGAGCCTGTGACATCACAGACGAATATAATTGCCATTTCACTAAGACCAAAACATTTCCTCCTGCAGAAAAACTAATGTATGTCCTTTTTTCATTAAAAAGTTGCTTTTGGGTGCTGGGGCCTCTTACTTTGCCCCCTTAAATTTATGCTTGGTGCAGAATGATAACACATTTGTTATCACTTTTGCACTTAGATTTGTTTGCTCTTTCCTTAAGAAAGAGAGAGAACATGTAGAAAGTGAATCTATGTCCCTGTCCGCAGCTGGGCATAATTTACCGGGACATCAAGCTGGAGAACATCCTGCTGGACTCCCAAGGGCACATCGTCCTGACAGACTTCGGACTAAGCAAGGAGTTTCTCCCTCACGAGAAGGCAAGTCGGCAACGTGGGGCGCGTTGGTGCAGCCTTTTGACCCACTTGCAGACGCTGCTGCTTCCTTGTTTGTTTTTGTGTTTTCGCTTTTTCTTCCTCTTTGCCGCTCACCTACTTTCTTCTTTCTTTCTCTTGGAGGTTTCTCTCCCTCCTTCTTGTTAGCCTCGGAGGCCGTGGAAGGAGAGGAAGGGGGCATTTATTTATTTAAAGGGGACACCGGTGCTCTTGGAGCAATTTTGGTCGGCAGTTGCACAACGGGAATGTGTTGCGTGCACAAATGGTGCATTTTTGTCCGCGGCTTCCGCAAATATTGTTGTAACTGGGGCGGGGCAAATGTCGATGGGTCGATCGAGCTGTTAAGCAACAATGCTTAGTGTGAAATAGAATCCTATGAAAGGTGAGCGGATATGCAAGCTTGAAACGGACGAACGCATAATTGCCAAAAGGCTATGGCAGTTGCTCCTGCTGGTAACCTTTTTAACAGCTGATGTCACTGACGTCCTGTTAGTGACCTCTTGAATGGTTAGAATGGAGACGAGATGGAGGTGTCCATTAAGATTGTAATAGGTTGAAGACATAAATGATTAATATAACTGGACTGAAGATATCAGTATAATGATGCGTGCCACTCTTTCCCAAAATTAAATGCGAGAGTACTTTCTTCTCGAAATCGCCATCTTGCGAGATACAGCCATCCTGCCTCCAATTCTTAAATTTGTTTTTACCCTGTGCAACAAACAAGGAAGTAACTTTAATATTAACAATAAAAAAAAAAAGAGAAGAAAGTAATGAAATCCAGACAGGCTTGTTGGTTTTGTAATGGCATTCTTTAAAACTATACATACTTTAAAACTATGAGGGCTTGGTTGTTTTTTTAGTAATTTTCAATGGAAAAGATAAAACTAAAAAGAAGGAAAACAAAATTAAAACACACCTGTTTGCACAAAAGAGTGGGACTGCGGCTTTGAATGGCTGCCATTCGCTTGGGCAGTACAGTTGCTGACCAATCTCTCGGACTCAATGGGGACCAAAAACGCGTTTGAACTATAAAGCAGTTAGAAAAATTTACAGATTACAAAAGTTGGCTTTATTGAGCCTAAGTGGGCTTCAAAAAGTTGCAAAGACCACCTTTTTTCATGTTACGCTTGCGGGTGATCATGTTTGCGGGTGATCATGTTTGCTTGCATTCGCACCGTCATGTTGTCACTGTACACATTAGACAGCAACATTATGCGTTTGTTACGTCGGACGGTCGTTCTCGTCATCGGAGTCTGAGTCTTCTGGTTGTGTGGGAACATGGCTCATAATTTTATTGCCCGTGAGTTCTGCGCACAGTTCGAGGTCTTAGTCAAGATCTGCGAACGCATGGAATGTGGGAGCCTCAGGAATGTTCATTTCAATGTTGCGCAGGTCGGCGAACAGGCACTCACCGACATCCACTTCTGTCGGGACGCCCTCTGCCTCTTGATGGTCCAGCCTTGCTTTATCGGCTCAGGGCTCTTCACTGGCACAGAAGCCTGCGTGGTTGAAGCAGTGGGCAATTGTCGATGGCTGAATGGCCTTCCACACATCCGTGGTCTGCCGAATAACCCTTCCCATTGTCGAAGCAGAGGACTGTGCAGCAAAGCAGACGAGCGCGGCAGTGGACTTTGATATTCTGAATAATCTCCTGGTTCATTGACTGGGGCACACTCGTATTGTTAGGTGGCAAAAATTTAAGCCGGATGGCTTTGAGGTCGTCCACAGTCCCATGCGCTCTGTTGTTATCGACGAACATCATTACATGTCGCTTTCGGTACTCGAACACCCGGTCCAGCTGGCGCAAATAGCCTTTGAACAAGCAGTGAGTAATCCACGCCTCGGTGTTACTGCAATATCACACTGTAAGCTGCTCCAAATCTCTGAAACTTCTTGAATTCTTTGTCGTGCCGATAACGACGAGTTGGACTTCCTTGTCGCCGACTGATAAATTCTTCAATCCTTTAGAACACCTGGGGTTTTCCGCCTTCCTAATGACAAGGGGCAGCAGCTTCTCAGTACCCACCTCGTTTGCCCCAACCATGACGGGGATTCTTTTCTCGCTGTATTTCCTTCCTGTGCAGGATTCATCATTAAAACAGAATGTCCGGTCCGGTAGCACCTTCAAAATTAGGCCTGTCTCATCACAGTTGTGGACATCTTCCGAGCAAACTCTTGCAGTAATGACTTCACCTTGTTCAAGCGGTAGTCCACCACAATGGTCTGGACGACGGCTCTACTCTCCCCGCGCATAATTTCCTAAACGAAATTCCATGTCGCTTCTTGAAAGCACGCTACCATCCGTCAGTGAACTTCAAGTTCTCTATGTTCATTTTCAGTGCAAGAGTCTCTGCTTTCTGCCTGGGGGTGTCACTCAACACTGAAAGGTTCTTTGAAAGCACTCCTTTCAACCAAAGTTGCAGAGCAGAGCCTCCTCTAGGGCTGGGTGTTCTTTTTTTCTGTCATTATTTTGGTGTTTGTTGTGCGAACTGTCAAGCATAGACAAGATACTTGGCTTGTTTTTCTTGTAGTCCGATAACGTCTGCTTGGACAGCTGGAACTCCTTCGCCACGTCGACTTGCATCCATCCAGTCTCGATGAGCTTCAGAATTGCCGCTTTCTTCTCGCGCGCCATTGCTGAGTACTTTCCTCGCTTCCTTCGAATACCCGGTGGGGGTACAAGAAGATGTGGGGCCACGGGGTTTGAAGCATGTATCGACGCAGGGCAAAAGGACGAAACTGCGAGTCGTTTAGGCGCAAAGTTTAGAAGTTGATAACAGCATACTCCACACTTGACGGATGATGACTGGTGTGAAAACAGAACAAAAATTGGTTGGAGATGGAAAATCAACCAGCAAAGAAACCGAGATGATGACGACGATGGTGCGGAACAAAAAAAGTCACGGTTTCTTGTTGATGTCGAAATAACTAGTGAGTTCGAATTTACGGCTTCTGAAAAATTGGTCGGAGACTGTATTCAGTCTCAGCTGGTGGAAACAACCCCTATAGTGTTGCCTGGAACACATCTCCGACTGGTTTTTTTACCCCGTCCTAAAATCTAGTCCCTCGATTTCTGCCTGATGATGTCATATATAGCAGTGTCGTGTTGTCACTGGCCGCGATCCTAGCAGGGTCACAGCAGCAGGACTATGGCCCGTAACTGGCCATATTCCTTCCAATGAAGTCTGGCCCGCTACCCGCTCCCGGCAAGCCCGCTGCTACCAACAAAAAAATGAGGACGCGTAGAAGAATGGCGCCCGAAGCGCACCAATCACACAAACAAAAATACAAAAAAAAAAAAAAGAATGAGAGAAATTGGTTCATTGTAGGTGTGTCCTCATCTATTATTGACTGGACATTGTCATGTCACCAGCATCAGTATTCTTAGTCCCCCATTTCATATCTGGGTAACTATGTATGTTAAAATTCCCTCGCGTTCCCATGTACATTGTGCTTAGTGTCCTGCGTCGTATCTATTGCATATTGTCAGCATTAGTTCTACTATTCTCTTTAGTCTTCTCCCCCGTGTGAACATGCCAAAGTTCCTGTGTGCTTTGATCTATGCCTGATGAGTTTTCTTTGTCCCAATTATTGTGTAATGTCATCCCTAGCTAAATATTGAGTTTCAAAATAAAATATATATGTATTCTGAAATAAGGGTTACTGGACAGGCAAGCTGATGAATGATCATATTGAAATAAAACCTTGAAACTAGGGACGAAATTGGGACAGCACAACGCCGTTGTTGTGTTGTGTTGTCCCATTTTGACAGCGGAGCTGCTCAAGGCTAGTTTCCCCAGTTTCATGTTCGTAGACAAATAAATCTCTACACAAAACTCTGGACAGCTACCGCCATCTATGAGCGACAGTGGCAACCAGACAACCGGCTTGCTGGTTGTCTGGTTGGCACCATTGCTCATAGATTGCGGCAACCTTTCCAGCCTTTCCACTCTGGTTTTCACCAGAGTGGAAAGGCTGTAATTCCTCTAGGCATTGTCCTAAAGCCGTCCTCGAGGACGTCCTCGAGGACGGCCTCGAGGACGTCGCCTAGAGGACGTTGTCCTCTAGGCGACGTCCTTGAGGTCATCCTAGACACCATCCTTGAGGTCGTCCTAGACGTCGTCCTTGAGGTCGTAATTGAGTTTGTCCTCGAGGTCGTCTTAGAAGGCATTCCTGAGGTCATCCAAGACGTCGTCCTCGAGGTCGTCCTAGACGTTGTCCCTGAGGTTGTGTAGGACGACCTCAGGGACGACGTCTTTAATCTTTAACTTTCTAATGTAAGTTGGACCAACCCTGGTTCATTTGCAGATTATCCTTCTCTTGAAATGGTCGTGGAATTTATTCAAAGTGGAATTTATTCAAAATAGCCAGGGAAAACCTGGAAAGGTCGTAGATTTTGAAAGAAGTAATTTGGCAGACAGCCTGCTGTAGGTTACGTCTCCCCCTAACCACGACAGCACCGTCTGTTCACCATCGCAGGACCAGCGGACATACTCGTTTTGCGGCACAATCGAGTACATGGCTCCGGAGGTGGTCCGGGGTGGCAGCACGGGCCACGACTTCAGCGTCGACTGGTGGAGCGTCGGAGTGCTCACGTACGAGCTCCTCACCGGAGCATCGCCCTTCACCGTGGAAGGGGAGCGCAACAACCAGGCCGAGATCTCAAAGTGAGCACGCTCCGCAGTCGGTCTCTCTGTTTTTTCCGCCCGAAGCACGAAGCGTGGCACACGGGTAGGAGGTAGCAGGGTCGGTCTCAACGCAGAATTGCATTCTAACGAGAGCCAAGTCCGATTTCGTGACTGTCCAAAGCGTGCGTGTTGTGATGCGGTAAAAAGCAGCGGGGTTGGCCACCTGCCGAATGCCCGTGCCGCCGACCAACTGCACGTGTTTGCACGTGTCGTGTGTCAACGTGCGACAAGTCGCTTCACACTACAGTGCAATCCGCTCATAATGATACCACCTCTATAGTCCGTTGCAACTCAAGAAGGTAGGGCGAGAGTAAGACGGGCCGGGGAGGTGGAAGCAGACGGAACGCTAAAGAGAGAAGGCGGTTTCCCTGTCTCGTTTCCAGCGTTCCGTCTGCTTCCTCCTCTCTGGCCTGTCTTACCCTCGCCTTACCTTCCTGAGTTGCAACGGACTATAACGATGTACCGCTTATGACGATCAGCTTATAGGGTGTCTATACTGGAAGTGCTCAGTTTCTAGCCTGGATACGATAGTCGGTTATAACGATTGAATTTTCGGGTTTTCTTGTTGTTGTCATAAGTGGATTGCATTGCATACATACCCTGATCGCCCCTGGGCTGGAAGTGCAGTGGAAAAACTATGTGCTCTCTGGACTTATTAACTTCCTCCCTTTCATCACCTAAACCCACTCCTTACGTGTGCAAGCGGAAGCGTGATCATGTGGAAAAAGAGAGACTTTGTGACTGGTCCAGCGAGCACATAGCTCTGCCGCACTGCCAGCTTAAGGATTGAGTATATGCGCTCTCGCCTCAGTTGTCGCAAGGAAGGAGAGGTAAGAGAGGAAGGACGTTGAGGCAACATTTAGAAAAGAAGTGAATTGGTATAAATAGGTAATTTTGCTCCAACTTGATTTCTGTCGAACATTACGGAATGCATTATTATATTGTTGCCATTATCTGTTCAAATTCTTTCTATTTTTTTTTTTTTTTTTAGGTAAATGTTTTTTAGGTTATCTGTGATTGTTTATAGTCACTCTTCGTCGTTTGAACCACATGTGAGTCAAATTAATATGAAACATAAAAAATAAGAACTTGTTTATAAGTTACAAAGCTTCAGGGTCAAGGGACTGCACTGTCCTCACAAGACTTGCACATGTTGTTCTAACCTCATGTATAAACGTGTTCTTACCTCATCTGTAAAAAGTATAAACTGCTTCTGAAGCCTTTTTTTTCTTCTTCTGTCATATTTATTTGGGACATGTCTATCACTAATCTTTATACTAGTACAGTATAAACTCATTAGTACGACAGACCTGATGAAGATTTTGGTCTGTTGTAAAATAGTATGCAGAATGCAAATACTCTTACTATAGAGTTTGAGGTGGATTATGATGGGAGTCAGTTCTAACCAGTGAGACCAACAAAATGACAATGGATATTAGAAAAGAACTGGTTTAGTTAACTTTGAAAGAAGGTAGAGATCTTTAATTAAGGTCTACTAATGGTCGTCATCCCTGTGCGCTTTGGGTCATACAAGGGTTACAAGGCGCGGAGCGCAATAACAGGAGTTAACAAAATGGATGCTGCTGCTATCGAACCAAAGCCGCATAATGTCCGGGACAGTGATTGTTGTTGAAGAGCAACATAATGGAATGGTGAGCTACTTACAAACTGTCTAATTACCACGATCAAATCCTATAAGAGTGGCTACACAAAAATGAAGAGTTAAATGGTGAAATACACGAGGTTGGCCATCGTTGGGGATGAGACAGCAAAGCTTTATCAAATATCAATGATAAACACAAGGGGCACCCTTCACAAACCACGTGAAATGAGAACTGATACTGCAGATCACGGACACGGCAAATTCTCGTTTTGCAACACAATAAACACTCAAGAATACTCTACTAACTCCTGCGTCAGGGGAAGGGATACCGTATTTATTCAAATATAATGCGGTCACGATTATAAGGCGAGGGGGCAGTTGAAGGACCCAAGAAAAAGAAAAAAAAAATGCAATATTGCTATACAGAGCTTCGAATATAAGGCGGGGTATGACTTTGAGACTACGGATTTTGGAAAAAAACCTAGCCTTATATTCGAATAAATACGGTACTTCAGACTGCAGATGCAGCAGATTCGCCTTTCACGGTGTGACAAAACCAGCAGGAGCCGGCTAAACTTGTGTGCCACGGGAACCGATATTGCGTGCGCAGATTGCGGTGATAAGACGCGGGAACTTGCTATGAACTCACATGTCGTGATAACTGACGATGCATGGTATTACAGGAGGATCTTGAAGAGCCAGCCCCCGATCCCAGAGAACATGTCAGCCGATGTGAAGGACTTTATTCAAAAACTCCTCGTCAAGGACCCCCGGAAGCGCCTTGGCGGTGGAATCGACGATGCACTTGAGCTCAAGAAACACAAGTTCTTTAAGGTCTGTCGCTTTTTTATTTTGTTCTTGTTTACTTTAAAGGTGCGCTAATAAAGTAGAGTTTGTGATCGCCTTTTCATGGTGCAGGCTCAACCCGCCCGTCTTGAGCATCCTAGAAAACTGAAAGGTACAATCATACATGGCCTTTCTTCTCTATTATAAATGCAACCAAGCATTTTGACATGCCCCTTTTTTTAGATACATCACAGAAAATGTGTTATGTCTCGACGATTGGTCGAATTTAATTTATAATGGCAGAAAAGGTCCCGCACGATTGTAATTTTGAGTTTTTCCGGTTTCCGAGACACCCCCTAGCGTCTCGGAAAAAGGACGAAATCACAGTCCTTCGCCGTGTATTTCATAGAGAAAAAGGCTATGTGTAATTGTAATTTTGGGTTTTCTAGGATGCTTACCATGAAATGCCGGGGGAGCACCCTCCTAACTTTCACTGAAAACTGGGTTAAAGTATAGGCATGGGCGGCCTGTTGGGTCAAATCGGGCGCTTGACGATTATTTACGGAATTCCCAAATTTGGGAAATGTTAACAGTAGGGGCGCTTGAACGAAGTGGGCGCTTTCGCGGTATTTTACAATAGGTCACAAAAACCGAGTTTGTGCCATAAAAGGAAGATCTTAAGAACAGCTTTAGTGTCCCTTTAATTCGACCACAGAGTGTTTTTCCTCGATTTCGCTACTGTCGAGTCGTAAACAGTGACATTCATAAGGCTTGCATTTGTTTTTTGAGCTTCTCCACTAAGAGTCGCAGAAAAGAGGGGAATATTGAGGCCGTGTTAACCCCCTCAACTGAGGCCTGCGTGTCTTCTTGCCTGCAGAGCACAGGTGGGGCCAATCGTTGCATCTTACAAGCGAAATATTGCATGTGAAGAGGTCGAGAAAACAATCTTCTGCACAGCTAGAGTTTCCCCGTGCCCTGTGGGCAAGCGGACGTAAAGGATCTGTTCGGAACCAGCACGTCTTTTACTCGAGCGAACACGACCTGGTGTCTGGTGCTTGGTACTATGGTGCAATCCACTTGTAACGATACCAGAGATAAAGATGTACTGCGTATAACAAAGAGTTTCTAGACTAGAAGCGCTCGGGTTTTACTTCAGATACAATGATAATTGGTTATAACGATTGAATTTTCGGGTTTTCTCAGTATCGTTAAAAGTGGATTGCACTTTAGTACACGTACTACCAGAGCTCGCACTATCTGGCTCCTAGTGCTATACTTTGTTTCATTGTAACTCTGCAAAGAGCAAGCGCTGCAGACTCCTTGAGCCAATCGGAGTGATGGAGGCTAAGTATGTGACAGCCCTTACCAGAGGTACAAGGGTGATAGTGTAACCCAAACAGTTGGAGAAAAGGGGAAAGAGGAACTCCCCTCTTACCCAGACACTTTTTGGTATGTCCCAAAGGTCGCTTTTGTCCCCATGGGAGATTAACACGTCACTCGAAATTCATTCAAAAGCGGCTTTCCTCTTTTTTCCACCCGTCGCTTGGACAGTGCTGTGCGCAACTAGCAAGAGGAAGCGTAGTCACGTGTCCACCTCCGACGCACCGATTGGCTCGCCGGGACCATAGCGTTCGTCGTTCGCCGAGTCACTGTGAGATGGAGTGTAGTACTGCCCACTTTTCATGCACATTCTGTTGCAAGCTAGTAAGTTGGGCTAGTCAGCAATCGTCGAGCAGGACAAAAAGCGGCGCTCGGAGGGGCAGGACGAAAGGAAGCGACACGGGTCAAACGCACGCTATTCCTTCCTTTTGTCCGGTCCCTTTGAGCGGCATTCTTCGTCGCGACTGGCATCGCATTGCGCCAATAGGAATGCATTGTGATGCGGCTTCCTGCCAAAAACAGGGCCTCGACTGGGACGACCTGGCGGAGAAGAAGATCGGGGCCCCCTTCGTCCCCAAGATTGCAGGGGAGCTGGACGTGAGCAACTTTGCCGAGGAGTTCACCTCCATGGTGCCCGCCGACTCGCCCGCCCTTGCCCCCGCAAGCGACGACAAGATCTTTAAGGTGCGTGAACTTGAACCTTTGTAAGTCTCGTGCCCAAACCCGCGCTACCGTAGGCCCGACCTTGTGTTTCGATGGATCGTGGATTTCCAGATTACATGTTGGTTGTTCGCGGGTTGTAGTCACTGGCAGTGTGAAAACGGCAGGGAGGTAGCTTTGGCAACACCTTGACGTCTCGTACCCCTCAAGCGTGGAGGAAGGCATGGAGTAGATGGTGTAGACATAACGCTCGAACAGCATGCCCTGCTGTCCTCATTTTGGCGGTGACTATACTTCATGTCAGCTTAAGCCCAGATGCAGCCGATGCTTTGAGCGCAAGCTCCAGGCTTTCAGCGTCCCTGCCAAGCATGCGCAGTCGTGCAGTGCAAGCACTGTTTTGGACCACGTGCTCTCGCTTGTAGCATTGGCTGTGTCTGGACTTAAGCTAAAACAAAGTATACAGCAGAACAGGTTTTGATCCAGCTCTGCAAACTCCCTCGATCGGTCCCTCCGTTTTTGAGCCGTATGGTAATGAAGCACATCTCGGAAGCTGTCGGAGATTTGAGCAAGGAAGCGATAACTCAAACCGTATGGAGAGCACTTGTAGTTTAATAGCAGACACCTCCTGCACAGATTGGCTGCACTTTTTTTTAAAATTTATTTCGAGGATACTGCAGCTTACACATGTGGTCCATAGCAGGTATGGGAACACACTTGTGCATTGTCACATGCTCACATTGTCACGAGGCGTGGAGGGCAGTGGGCAGAAAGACTGAGCTGTAGTGGGCAGAAAGACTGAGCTGTTTGGCGGAGACGCCTGGAGTCGTTTGACGCTTTCCTCAATTCGTTGTACTTTGTATTACAAATGTAGCCCATGAACTGCACGACCCAGATCAAGCAGTTTAAACTGCTCTTAAATCCAGGCACCCTAGAAGCCATGTGCTTTGCCGCTTGTGTTCTGTTAGGGCCCAAAAATACTTAAAAGTTGGCGTTTCCTGCTCTTCAACCAGAAATGGCCTCGAATTCGTTGCACGGGGTGGGCGACAATAGGTCGGCGCAATGTTTAATCGCGTACCTATGTAACTTAAAAATAAATAACTAAGCTACCAATTAATGACCAATAAATGTAATCTCGGTTTGAACCACTTTGTCAGAATAAGAAAACGATAATGGTGTTGGAAACCTTTAAAAAGTTCCGGAAATTGGTTTATTTCTGGCTTATTTCTGGTTTAAATTGGCTTATTTCCCTGTTTCTCAAAAAGCCTGTTTCGTTTATTGAGATATTAAAGCACAAAACGATGAGGATGGAGATATAAGAGGGAGACAGGGAAAGAGCGCTGACAACTGATGTTTGAATACTCCCCAAAGAGAAGAAAGAAGGATGTTATCAAAACACAGAAGTGAAAGAGGAGAAAAATCTCTTAAAAGCCCATGTTATATGTAAAGTAAATCCCATTTACATCATTAAAGGGGAAAGTATTGAGGTTAGTTAGATTTAAGTGATGCATTACCAAAAATAAAGAAATAATGGAAATATAATTTTTTTTTTTTTCAGAAAAGAAAAAGGGACGAAAACATGTAAGACAGAGATGCTGATAAAATTAAACAAAGATGTGAAGTTTGGGAAGGTTATGAACTGGGAAATTAATATGTACAACCAACTTTTTTTTTTTCTTATGGGGAAAAATAAAGTTTGTATCATAATGTATCGTAACTAGCCTGCCAGATGATCCTAATCCCGTTGCGTTCCTCTGCCGTGCAGGGCTACTCCTACGTGGCACCCTCTGTGGTGTTCAGCGACAACATTCTGACGGACGAACTCCTGGGCAACACGAACGACACCCGACCCAACATTTCGCAGCTGCTTGCTGCCAAGTTTAAGGTGAGCTCATTCGTCGATCAACAGGGAGCTTGTCTGCACAACTCACGTCTCCGCAAATCGTAGTAAATCAAAGTCCTCAGCCCCCCCGGCTGAATATGAATCACTTTTATCACCTTTGGCATCCTACGATTGAGCTCGGACAAAGCGGTCTCGCAGTGGAAAGTGAAAGTGGCTGTTAATGTTGGAGTGCCTTCTGTTAGAGAGCCTGAAATGAATGCGCACTCAAGGCTGCAGAAACCAGCGAGAGTGCACTGCGACTTGTAAAAAGTCTTCTATAGCTGCAGAAATGTTCGGTCTGAACTGCTCCTCTATGCGGAACGCAAGTTCGTCTGCTTCTTTCACAGGAGTTGTGGTGTCGTCAAAGCGCCGAGCTCTGACGGGCTGTGATTAAAGGGTAGTGGGTAGACCTCAAAGCAGCTTGCTTTTGAGGTCTACCCACTATGCTTCATTCAGAGCCAATAGGCGCATTCAGTAGCGGCTCCCTCAGCTCCGAACAGAGTGACCCGAGTCGGAGTGCTTGGAGCGCCTACTGAACAGCACAAAAAACGCAGCTCCTCAGCTGCTTTTACGCAACTTCCGCTTCCTCCCCTGTGCCAGACGGTCTCCGAATAAAATGGAAGCAGACGATGTTGAGCACGATAGCTTTTAGAAGTCTTGACAAGGTCGTTAAAGAAAAAGCGAGTGACTGTACACATCAGCGCTGCTGTTCGAAGCGATCCAGTGCGATCGAGCCCTCCGCAGGGCGGTGCAAAGGCTGCTTCTGTTACAAAAACTGACAAAAACGTCGTCGGCACACGCCAAATATGGAGCTGAGCGAATCTCCGCCGCCGGTTGCAATACTTTTATACGGCCATAGGTTTGTTCTGCCCTTCGTTACAAACTTCCTATAAAATGTATTCGTATACACACGGGAAGTTCGGCCGTGCTCGGCGATCAAGGTTTCGTCGGCCAAAGCAAGCATCAGCCAACGTACACCCCGATTTAGCCATGCAAACAAAACATCAATCGGGATCATGCTCTGCGTGAGCGTCCAACCGGCTACCGAATTCGCGTTCATACCCTGCCTTGCTCTGTTTAGCGCGGAAAGGACTATTGTTGATATTCACCGAGTTTCCGTGCAACAGCGATCAAGACACGGCGTCAAATGAACATTTACGTTGTTTATTAGCATATTCAAACCAAACAAAATATGGTCCAATGCATTTTTCGAAAAGAGCCTTACCTGGAAAAGAAATTCAAACGCGTTATTCGTCTTACCTTGAGCACTTTTCATTAACAAAAGCGAGCAAACCACACAACTGCGACACAACGAACGCAGCTTATCCTGCCTTTTTTTTCTATTTTAGCGTTGGAATTTTGTCAGCAATCCAGAATTGCATCATGCTGCGCTCCTTTCGCTCCTCATGCACCGTCTACGGAGACGGTGCATGGGAGCCTGACTCCAAAACTCGGAGTAACGGCAAAAACCGGAAGTCGGTTTTTGCCGTCTAGTGGAAGGAGCGCTGACTCCTTGACTCCTGGAGCCGCTACTGAACGCGCCCAATGAGAGCTCTGCGTTTTGACGTAACCACAACCCCTGCAAAAGAAGCAGACAAACTTGCGCTCTGGATAGTCTGTTGTGAGATAAGGTAAAGACAAGCTCCCTCCATGGAGCTCTGGTGGAGAGGAGGAAATTGCCAATCATGGAGACTATATGTAGTCTCCATGATTGGCAATTTCCCCCTCTCCACCCTCCTCCTCTCCAGCATTTGCTCCGCTAAAATAGAAAGAGTGGAGGTTGTCCTGCTATTCTTAAAGGGGCCATGCGATAATATTGGGTAGGAATGTTTCTCACTTTACGCGAGCTTAATGGCACTAGTGGGACCTGAGTGTAGCACTTGCGCTCAACACTGCTTACCAGGAAGCTTGTTTGTCGCCGCAAAATTTCAAGGATGAAAGCTAATGTTTCCTTTCGGTCTCCCCTTCGCAAAACTTGATGACAGAGTTCCGGGGATCGCCTTTTTGCCGTTGTCAACGACGCGATCTCCAGGATTTTGGAATCAAGCTTTGCAATCTCCGTGGTGAGAATACAGTCGAATCTCGTTAATTCAAACTTGCGGATAATTCAAACTAACGTGCAGGTCCCGTCCCATGCATCTATATGGGAGGAAACTCCCAATATTTCAAACTTTGCTTTGTTCAAACGAATTTTCCGTCCCCCTCGGGTTTAAATTACCGAGATTGGACCGTATTTAAATGCGGCCCATGCTGTTGACACAAGCACTTCGTAAGCATTCTATTCGGGCTCAATCCCAATCGCGATGACGGGAATGGCCGAACCTTTACAAGGTGTGGAACTCGGCGTGTGCAGTATCCTTTGCCAGCCCCGGCGCGTGGCCATGATAAACATTGGCGTCACATAATTGACTCCAGATCATATGGCCGCTTGTTCTGGCTGCGAGTTGAGGGGTTGAACGCTGCTCGTTTTTCACAAAACATTTTTCGGCAACTGCCGTTGAATGGAGAAACAAACCAATCTAGGTTTCATAGGTTGTAAATGTGGAGTAGTAATTCCAAGTGATGTTTACTGAAAGGATAAAAATTCTTGCGTCACCACTTTAACCCACAACTAGCTATGGTCTTCCAATACCGTAAGGAGAAGTGTGCGGAAGACAAGAGTGCCAATGAATGACTCAAGAGAGTAAGTGTTTTCCTCATTTCCTAATGTTTGTATATCTCTGTTCTTTTTTGCACAGAACTCCCCCTTCTTCCAGAACTACGACCTAATCGCCAAGGAAGGCATCTTGGGAGACGGGAGTTTTTCTATCTGCAGGTAACTGTCCGCGAACCGTTAACATTTTATGAATCGATTCATTTGGCAGTTTGTAGGTTCCTTTTTGCACCAGCCGTTCGGTGAGAAAACTGTCCGCGCTAACCGCCACCGACTCTGCGGGATCGAGTAAAATGCCGAAACGGTTGCCGCCGACCAAGTTTTCCGTCGGACATAATCTCGATGAGCGAAATAATGCAAGAGCAGTGATGAGTCGGTGATAAAAATGATGTTTTCAGTATGTAAAATCACTGCTAATGTTAACTTAACGCTCGATGTGCCCAGACTAAAAAATGGCACTTTCCGTGGTCATGGATCACGAGGATACGAAAGCTCCGGTGTTGCTTGGGTTCGGCACCTTTTCTCCGAACGTCCCAAAAACTGACAACGGCAGCAGGCTCGCGTTTGTTTGTCGATTTAACGGCTCTGGAGCAGTACGACAGTACGTGAATTCAAGATAGTTTTTGTTACTTTTCAGTTGCCTCGCAGTTATTGCGTCCAGGTGGCATATTTGAGAAGGAAAATCGCTCTCATTACTGCCACTGTACACTGCAGCATGCATGGCTGAGTTGGCAACATGCGTGGCTGCTGTGTGGAGGAATGTGGGGCACAGATTGAATATAAGCGCGGCGTCAGCGTTAGGCTGGAAGTCGCAGTCGGTCAATGAGGACTCGTGTCCCAGCCAAACGCTGACAGAGCAGTCATCTCTAGTCCGTGCATGCCCTGACCTCCAGTAGGTGACGTAGAAAATCTTTTATTGTTGTGTACAGCATGTGCCCCCCAAAGATTTACAATGTTTTCTTTCACCACAAAAAAAAAAAAAACACAAAAAAACTGTGGATCACCCTAACACTCGTTTTTCCGTTCAAATGTAGCACTAGTGATCCGAACAAGGTGCCACAGTATCAGCACTAACTGCTATTTTATTCGAAAGCTACAAGCGATTTTCTGAAATTTTCTGTTTGAAAATGGCAACTGATAAAGCTCTCGAATACGTGGAGCTTCATGGCACCAGCTACCGAAAACGAGCGAAAAGGGGCGCCATTTTCCCATTAAAACATTTAGAAAATCACTCCTAACTTTTGAATAAGTTAACGGTTATTGCTGAAACTTTGGCATCTGGTTCTAACCGCCAGATCTACATTTAGGTAGAGAATGAGCATTCTGCAATGCATAGTTTATTTTTGCAGTGAAAAAAAAAAAAATATACAGTATAGGACCGCTTACAACGTAACCACTTATAGTGCAGGACCGGGTATAACGCGGCTTTTTTAAAGCACCGGTTCACCTCCCATAGAACTCCATGTATTGACGTACCGCTTAAAATGCAGGCACGTGAAGGGAAATACCGGCTATAGTGCGGTTTTTGGAACAGCCCGCCGACCGCGCCAACTGACCGCAGCGAGCACGCTTCCCTGTGCGACACTAGATAACGGCGCTAGCCGCAAGCGGCACTCGCGGGGCAAGGAGGTTGCTTGAAGAAGCGGGGAAAAGCGAAGAGAGAGGCTTCAGTTGCCATAGCGACGGAGGGACGCACGCACGTGTTGTTCACGTGCGTGCGTCCCTCCGCTGCGTTGGAAACAAACAACCGCAACGACAGACCAATCGCAGGTCGAGGAGAAGTGTTCGCGCGCGTTGCATGACGGTCGCGGGCCGACTGCTTCTATCCGCGAACATGGCGTCGGTTGTGATCGTCGACGTAGACGGCGTGGTTATAGCGTGGTGGAAGCTCATCGTTCCGCGTAAAAGCGCTATCCTTGACTGTGAATTTTCGTTGTGTGTCGCTATCCCAGCACGTACTTGAAGGGAAGGTCCACCTACTCATGCGGCGATGTCGTGGCGGCACTCTCAAGACGGCAGAAACGCCCGTGTTGTTGTGTTTGTTTACTTCGATTACAATGGTGCTTTCTACGCATTTGTGTTTTCGAACATCGCCCGGATTTCTTATTTGGAGCATTTCATGCCTGTGCTCAAGTTGAAGGTATTACTGGCGCGTACCGTATAAAGGATGCGAATTTTCACGCGTTTTCATCGCCGGAGAAGAGTGATTAGGGTTAGCAATCCTGAACACTCGCAACGTCCGTCCGCAACCCGCGACGCCGTTAAAAGGCTGCGCCAGGCAAAAGTCGCTCATTTCTTTCAAAATGTGTGACACACTTGAGAGAGAAGTGTACTGGTCTGGTGAAATAAAGACTTTCCTCAAACTAAGCTTTATTTTTCATCTAACATAAAATAAATTCTTTTAGAAAGATAAGTTGTCTCATGGCATGTATTTTGGCCTGGTTATAGCGCGGTACCGCTTATAGTGCGGATTTTCGCGACTCTCGCGACATACGTTATATGCGGTCTACACTGTATATATATATATTCTTGGGACATGCTGTAGATCACTAGTGCCCCCTACTGCTTTGAACACAATAAAGGCCAAGCCTACTGGGCCAGCGCCATTAACATGTCTCGTATCTGTGCAACACCACAGCAACAAGCCCTTGTTATATCTAGGAGGTTTTGTCTTGGCGCCCTCGAAGTAGACATCCCCTCCCATGATGCACATCTACATGGAGAGAAGGACACGCAATGGAACTGCTAAAGCTATGGAGCTCAACTTGTCCTACCTTTGAACAAAAAACAATTGATATATGAGTGCTGCTCTTTAGATCCTTCAGATAAGCCACGCCGGCGATTGGACATGGCGCCGCAGCTTGCTTGTAATCAACCAGTGGGAAATTTCGAGCCTGTTTGCGAATTCAAAATTGGGAAAAAGTTTGGTGAGAATGTCTCAGCAACTCATAAATAGCGAGAAAGGTCTCGCATCCTCCGAATGCTTGTTCTTTGTACTCCTTCATCTACCGGTCGATGTCGACACGTGTACGGCAGCTGAACAACTTGAGGTTTCTGAAAGAAGCGCAGGCTGTCAATGGCTTCCAGCGTGAAATAGCAGACAATCACAATTTCGGCCCGCGTCCGATCTCTCTCTGCCGCGGCACTCGGTTCATAGCAGACACTCACCATCGTTTTCGATCTGTTAGCAGTCAATGTACGACTTTCTCTTTTTTTATTTTCATCTGCAAATGGCACTTCGTAGCAGACAAAAGTCTCCAGACGCTATTTTCGCTCGCTCCGCAAGAGGCAAATTAGATCTCGCTCTTGCGGTGACCAAAATCTAACCCCTGGAAGCTCAGGGGATATCGTTCTCCTTTTTCGCGGACTGTTTTTTTCTGGAAGATGAAACGGAATTTTGAAAAGGACTGAGATGGCAGAAGTGTCATTACTCTGCAGTGTAGCCTATTTAGTGTCTCTACCGCTTTCCACGCAGAATGCTATCCAAAATTTGAGGAAACTCCCGCTTGGTGCTGAAAGTGCTTTTTGTCCATCCCCGCAGGAAGTGCATCCACAAGAAGACGGGTGTTGCGTACGCAGTGAAGATTGTTACCCGGCGCATGGACACGACGCAGGAGGTGCAACTGCTCAGGCTCTGCCAGGGTCACCCTAACGTCGTCCAGTTTGTGGAAGCCTTCCAAGATGAGGTCAGTCTGCCCGCCAAAGTCCGCTCTCAAGTCCGTTCACAGAATCCAAGCAAATGATTATAAAATTGTCTCGATAAATGGAACACGAATGAACGCTATGCGAAGCGCAAGTTCGTCTGCTTCTTGCAGAGGGGTTGCGATGATGTCAGAATGCCAAGTTCTTATCGGGTGATTGAAAAACATAGTGGGTAGACCTCAAGGCATCTAGCATTGAGGTCTACCCGCTATTCTTTCAATCAAAGCCAATTGGAGCTCGGCATCGTTTCGACGTCGCCACAACTCCCTATCCTACGCGGAGAGCAGACGACTTGCTCTCCGCGTAGGATAGGGACCCTCGGACCTTTCAGTCTCGACAAATCCCCATCTCTCTCCACTGACAACCGAGGGACCACTTCGTGTCTTGTCCTTGTTGGTATAAAACTATGGACCCCATAATCAACAATGCACATTGTAGGTAATGTTTCGCACATGGTTAGGCATTAATGGATGGCTCAGCTCTTTAAACACAGCGCTTAACCCTTCGATGCCCAGTATTGCTCAGTAACAACAACTCAAGGACGATTTAATTTCTCCCACATCATGTGCACCTCAATAAATTTAGTGCCTTCTGTTGCAAGGGCAAGGATACCTGCACTTAGCAGTGAAGAATCGAATTACATCTTTAAAACAGATCACTTGTCCTTTTAAGCCAGAGCTGACAGGGGATGTAAGGTATGATGGCATGCACCACTGACATCGAAACTCTGAGAAGAAGAACGGGCACAAATATTGCAAATCCAGTTACAAGTGTCTACTGTGCGGAATGCACAGTGCACCTGTACCTGCTCCCAGGCCGTAACTGCTTTCAGTCACTGGGCGTAAAATAATGCTGCAGATGCCCAATGTTGCTCACAATCAACATTTCATTTGTAAAAAGTGATCCCTTCATTTGTAAAAGTGGTCCCTCAAGTGGTGGGCTTTTCCCACCATTGGAAATGAAGTCCGTCGTTGATGTTGTAGCTGTTGATTTTGTACTAGTCCTTGAAAAAGATTGCTTGCCGCCCACGGGAATCGAACCTGGGTCCACCGCATGCGGAGCGGAGGCGTTACTGCCGAGCTACGCCACGATGTTAACACCCCACTCTGTACTTAGTGTTTTTGTTATACCCAAGGCCCACTGCACGCGCTCCCTGGAAGAAAAAAATTAGCCTATAACAAAATGGTGTCGCAGCACTGTCAATGTCAAGAGCCCGTGCCGGGAGACACACTCTCACACTCTCTAGAACAAAACGGAAACAAAAGCTTTCAGCCTTTCCACTCTGGAGAAGAAGGAAGAGCAGCAGAGCTGTAGCTTCTGTTCTCGGCGGTGGCTTTCCAGGCGAGCGATCTGCTCTTCTTTCGCAAGGGAATCTGAAGTGCTCGACGCAGTGGAACTTTAGGCGACAGTGGCCTCGCGGCAATTGTGAAACCATCCGCGCTGATGCGCACAACGCCGCTCGTTCCGTTCCCGCTCTTCTTCCTGCAAAGAAATGTTGCCGCAATCTATGAGCAACAGCAGCAAGCAGACAACCGGCAAACAGAACACTCTGGACAGCTACAGCCATCTATGAGCGACGGCGGCAACCAGAGTGTTGTGTCGACCACGGGTGTCGACATTTGTTTGGTACTGGACACGATCCTGGGGAAACTAGCCCTTAACAGCTCCACTGTAAAAGCGTTTAAAACAGAATGGAGCAAAACAAAAGCTTTTAGAACAAAATAGGCATTCGTTTTGTTCCAAAAGCTTTTGTTCATGCACCGCGACTTTACCGTCACGTGTCGCGGCTGTCGCTGTGACTGCACTGTGGACAAACGCGGGACCCCTCCTTTTTGATGGAGTAAACAGACTAGTAGTCGGAGATGCGTTCGAGGCACCATAGTTTAGTTGCCTCTGCACTTGGATGAGAACTCCTGCCACCAGTGTTTCTCGACCAACGTTTCTCTGTGTATGCCGCAGGCGCACACGTACCTGGTGCTGGAGCTGCTGACGGGAGGAGAGCTCCTGGAGCGCATCCGGCGGCGGGCCCGCTTCACGGAGAGCGAGGCCTGCCGCATCTTCCGCAGGCTGGTCTCGGCCGTTCATTACATGCACTCGAGGGGCGTCGTGCACAGAGACCTCAAGCCAGAGGTCGGTAGAAGCTGTTTACGGTCGCTTCGGTTGTGGCCACACTCCTTTTGCTAACCCGTGCCTTTGTAGTGTCTCGTTAATACGAACCATGTTATTATGGATACTCCCCACTTGTAGACAACTTTTTCGTGGCACGAGCTAGGTAAATACTTGCATTGTATCATTATTATGGACAACTCGCATTGCGGGTGCATTTTTTTTTAAGAACAGAGGTGTCTAAATGGATGACACATCACTTTAGTCCCATCAACGTTGGCTCCAGTAACATCTAAGGGCCTAAATGCCCCCTAGAAAGGACCGTCTCGTGCCACGGCAGGGATTACTCGTAGCCTCACACATAGTTTGAAGCAAAGAATTATTTTGGCCACATATTTTTGAATAAATATGAAGTTTCTTCATTTTGTCCACTGTGAGGCTCAGTTTAATTGATTTATTAATTACCCGCTGAACATAGGTGCAGCGGGCAAATGACAGATTTGATGTGAAATTGAAGTTGGAGTGGCGCCCTGCTACGCATATTGAAGAGATTTATAAATCCTCTTGCTGTACTAGAGTATCCTTTTTTCAATTCCGAATTCTAAAAAAAAATGAAGCATGACCCATGATGCATGCAGCTTTTCTGAATATTGCTGTCTAATATATATTCTTGCATAAGAGCCACTCTTTATTTTGAAAATTTTACTGCAAGATCACCAGATTCCAGTTTTTCTTTCTTCTCAAATGTACTATGTTCATGGCACGCAGCTGCACTGCGGAGAAGCGATACCTACGGGCAAATCAGACGCCCTCAATCCTGTGAATCCCGCTTCGCTGCAGTGCAGTCACGTGCTTAGGGGAAAAGCGCACCTACGGAGAGGGATGGTGGATGCGCACGCTTGGTGCATTTCGTTTGCGTCGCTTATTTATTGAAAAGGAATATTCTAAAAGTGACTGTTCGATATTCTGCAACAAGGATTTTGAAGTCGTGTTTAATGCATTCAAACACTTTTGTCTCCGGTCCAGGCTGCCTAGATAAGAAAAGTTTGCTTAGTCACATCGCATATGAAAGATGTAAAGAATCTGCTCCGGGACATGACCGGGAACGTTGCAAACAATGTCAAAAACTTCACTAAAAAAATGTTTTTATTTTTGCTACCTATGGACCTCCGTAATCTGCCTTATGTTTTCACAGAAATTTTAGACAAATGCCGTCTTCTCACACAATAGGACGCCATGTGAAAACCAGCAGCAGCCACCAAACCCGAGGCCGAAACTTCTGAGAAAGTCGAACTTGGGTCACGGGAAAATAATAAAATTAAACGTAATGAATGACTTCACCGTTCTTTTAAGACAAGTTTGGTTCTCCTATTCTTAGTGACAGGTTAACAATTCTGTAACAGCGTAAGCTGTGCTCGTTCCTCACACCTCCGGTAAGACTTCGTCACATGCACGGCCAAAGTTTAGCTGAAGGCAATGAACATGCGATTGGTGGCACCTCTACTGCATTCTTAGCCAGTCACTGAGTACAGCATGTATACTAATACTTTTGAGGCACTTTGGACGGTCTGCAAGAATCGGCTTCTTAACGTACCGCACTGCAATTTACTACAGAGGTGCAAGCAGGTGTTGGAAGTTCACAGTGAAAAAATAAAAGAATAAACTTACCTGATTCAAAAGATAAAAAAAAACAACAAAAAAAAAAAACAACAGAAACCTGTTTTGGTCAATCTACGCCTTTGCTTTGCAGACGACACACGCGTAGTGAGAAGTACTGTCGACAGATGGCGTACGCTGCGTCGAGGGAGTACCGGCCAAATCGGGTTCTTATAAACCTAATCGGCCGGCGCTCCCACAACGCAGCTTACGCCATCTATTGGCAGGACTTCTCACTATGCATGCATCGTCTGCGAAGTGGCACCGTAGATTGCCCAGAAGAGGTTTTTTTTTTCTTTTGAATGAGGTAAGTTCCTTCCTTCATTTTTTCACTGTAAACTTCTACCACCTGCTTGCACCTCTGAAGTAAAGTGCAGCACAATTTGTTGGGAAACTGATTCTTGCAGGCCCTCTAGAGTGCCTTGAAAGTGTTAGTTTACAAGCTGTATACTACTGAAACAAACGCGAAATTGCAGTAGTCTCAAAGAACTACATGCGTCAAGAATGTAGAGTATATATGTACATGAGTCAAGAATGTAGAGGGACGATGATGCCATGACATGATATACAGACGACCGAGAGGCGCTGACAATTGTGTTTGTACTACGCAGAACCTGTTGTTTACGGACAGCTCCGAGGTTGCCACCATCAAGGTGGTCGACTTTGGCTTTGCCCGCTTCAAGCCGTCGGACAACCAGCTCATGAAGACCCCCTGCTTCACGCTCAACTACGCCGCCCCGGAAGTCCTGAGGCAGGCGAGCGCGGGAAACAGCTCCGCCGGCTACACGGAATCTTGTGACCTCTGGAGCCTCGGGGTTATCTTGGTGGGTGACCCTTTTTCTCTTCTTAGCTCGAGCTACAGGGCGTCCCCTCAAAAAATGTACGGAACTTTTCCGACGCAAAAATAAACTTTGCATCGCCGAACGCTCGTTCTCCGCCCCAGTGTAGCATTAGCGGCCCAAACCAGATGTTGTAGAACTAAACATTAACTAAACAAAGTTGTAGAACTAAACATTATCTTATTGAAAAGTTACAAGTAATTTTCTGAAATTTTCAGTGAGAAAATGGTGGCTGATGGAGCTCTCGAATACATGAAGTTGAATGGTGCCAGTTATCAAAAACGGGCCTCATTTTTCTGTTGAAATTTGTCAGAAAATCACTCGTAACTTTTGATTGAAGTGACGGTTTGTTCTAAAACTTTGGAATCTGGTTCGAACCGCTAGTGCAATATTTGGCCAGAGAATGAGAGTTCGGTGATGAATAGTTTATTTTTGCTGCGAAAGAAACTCTGTATCCGCCTTCCAGAAATATGTTATAACAGCTTGCGACAGAGCAAAAGGATGTCTGTTCGAGCTTTGTGCAACACCATATCTAAGGAAGACACACTTTTAATCGTAACGATCGCCAGATGGGGGTGCACCGAGATGGAAGCTCCTACGGTAAAATTGGGGGATGAAGTGCTAACACCCTAGTCGTAGCTCATTCAGTGACTCTACTCGCGATGAGAGAACTCACTGGCAGACTGGCGCCATCCTTGAGGTAGTCCTGGAGCTGCGCACAACTAGACAAAAGGTTTGGCTGTGGTTGCAAGATCAAGTATACCCACCGTCTAAAGAAGTGATTGCTCAAAATATTCTCAAAAGCTTTTCTTTGAGGCCACGGTGAAAGAATGATGCACACAGAAATTAAGAAAGATATGCAAAACCGACGAGTTCCACCTTTATCCAATAGGTGGTGCCAGTAGGAGCATAAAAACGGGTATCAATGGTACCAGTGGGTTCTGGGTGGGCCCACTTTACAATAAATGCAGAGCAGCAGAGTACCAGCAGGTGGGTCGGTACTCTGCGGTGGCGCAACATAACATTTCCACGTGAATAAAAGCGAGCAAGATGATAGTGTACATTCGTGGGCAAAATATCTTGACGGTTTTTCCACGTATTACTTTTTGGAATGCTTTCCCGATACAAAACTTTGTAATGGGGTAAACTGGTGTATGAGCCTAATTGGTTTGTGTAGCTAGGTTTAAGAATTTTTGGCTTACCACGAAATTTGTTAACATTGGGTTATAATTGGGATGCTGTTGCACTATACTCTGTTCACCCTTATGCTGAGAATAGAAGCTACGCCTTCAGCACGAGCTTTCTGCTCTTGCTACCACAAGTGTGAACGCGCAGCCATGTGCAACCAAAGCACTGCGGAAGCCAGCAAGCTCGTGATGAATACTGAGCTTTTATTCTTACCTTAAAGGACACATGCAAAGGAAAAAAAACATTTTTTTTAAACAGCTTAGATGGAAAAGGATATCATAAAACAATTTTACAACCAAGAAAAAAAAATTTTAGAGCTATATTTACGGCGCTATATGAATTTGTAGTTGGCGCCCGCGGGTGCCGCGAAAAAGTGGTCTTTATTTGTCACGTCACTGGTCCATATTTGTCACGTGGTGCTTGCGCTCTTTCAGAAGCTTCCTGTGGCCTCTAAAAGTAACTTATTCATCTTTGTTTGAAGTATAACAAAACACTAAGATGAATAAGTCACTTTTAGAGCCCAAAGGAAACTCCTGAAAAAGCGCAAGCAGACGTGATAGACCTGTGCGCCGGTCAGACGATGGCGGCGGCGCCCCGAAGCAGACGAACTTGTGTGGCGGCGGCGACGGCGGCGTGGAGAAACGCGTTGAAGCGGCATTCGCACAACGCTCAGCGTGCGGCGGCGACGCAGCGCGGCGGCGCGCAGGCCTACCACGTGACCAGCGGCGGCTCCCGCGAGCGCCAACTACAAATTCGTATAGTGCCGTAAATATAGCTCTAAAAATTTTTTTTCTTCGTTGTAAAATCGTTTTATGACATCCTTTTTCCATCTAAGCTGTCTAAAAAAAATGTTTTTTTCCTCTGCATGTGTCCTTTAAGGGTGAGCAGTGTATAGATGGTTGGCGAAAGAGCACTAAACCTAGAATCTCACTTTGTGCGAGTGCATTTTAGGTGGTATGTCGTCACGTTGAGTTCCAGGGAGGAACACCGGTGGTCAGAAAAAGCCGCATTATATCCGGTCGTGCGCCATAAGTAGTGGCATCCTAAGTGGTCTCCGTTGTAGAGCAAAACTGAGATGCGAGTCGTGGACCAACTCGCCTACATCATCGCCTATTCAGTGCTGTATGACCAAATGCCTCAAAAGTTGTCGGGCAGGGCGACATGAGGAATGGGTCACCTCGATCCATCCGATCAGCATTTTAATGGTGATGGTGTAAACAGTTTGAAGCTTATGCTTCGATCCACAATTAGATCCCTTAAATCTTGTCTCGAGAGAAAGTTTAGAAACCTTAAGGCTACATTTGCGACTGCTTACAACTGGAGAGGTTAGAAACCAGTTTTTAAGCTTTTTGCGAATGCCTACGACCGTCTGCGCAGCAGTGAAAGACTGTTGCAAGCAGTCACAAGGGCCTTAAAAACCGGTTTTAGCCTCTCGCGTCGTAAGCAGTCGCAAGGGTGCAAACCAGCCTTTACAAAATTCCAGTAGGAAAAGGTTTGGGGTGCACTAACACAGCCCCCTTTCTTCAAGGGAAACTGAAGCAGTCCTCTGTTTGAGTAAAAATGCTTAACTAATCTTCATTTGGCCTCCAGAATTACGAATATTGAGATTACTTTTTAATTTGGTGCACGGAGGCTGCAGAAATTTAGTTTCAAAGTACTGCTGAAGCCCCTCCTTCCTGGAGCGTTACATCGTATCAGGAAATTTCGAAATCTCAACTCTCGCTTATCTTCAGCACCTATGAAAGCTATGCACGCACACTCGCTATTTTCAAAAGGGTCAGAAAAAGACTGGTGTCAGTGCGGGGGAATATACCTGGCAAGCTTGAAATTGCACGCACTGCCCGCACGACAAGCGCTTGGCGGCCGAGCGGTCTGGGTTTGACGTAACGACTGGTCGGAGGTTTTTCATGTTTCCTCGCGTTTACGGTAGTTATGTCTTGGGGGAAAACGAACATGATATTCTGATTCGCGGGATAAAAATACCCCCAATACACCTCTAACTCGTTTTTTTCAAGAACCTCTTCAGCCTCCCTCTAACCGCACCCTTACCTCGTCTGCCCACAGTACACGATGCTCTCCGGCCGAGCGCCGTTCCAGTCGCCGAGCCGCCACGCCAGCGCGGCAGCCCTGATGCAGCGCATCCGCGAGGGCGAGTTCTGCTTCGACGGACCGCAGTGGGACCCCGTGTCAGAGCAGGCCAAGAGCGTCATCCGCGGCCTCCTCACCGTTGAGTCCCAGGCGCGCCTCACCATGGCTGAGCTGCGCGCGCACCCCTGGGTCCACACCAAGAGCAGCCACTGGTCCGCATCCCTCATGACCCCGGACGTCCTCAGCTCCTCTTCGTCGCCGCGTGCTGCCGAGTCGGCGCTACGCGCAACCTTCGACGCCTTCCACCTCGCAACGCGAGGCGGATTTCGTCTGCTGGACGTCTCAGCGGCGCCCCTCGCGCAACGGCGGAGGTTGAAGCGGAACTCTGCGGACGTGAGGAGCGACTCGTCGGTCTCCACGAGCAGCGGGAGCTCGTTCACGTCATCGACGTCGAGTTCTTCGTCGTCAGTGTCGGAGGTCGCACCGTCGGTGCGGTCGCTGGGGTTCGTGCCCGGAAGAGACGACGCAAGCAACGTGGGCGTTGACAGCGTGTTTACGTACCCGGAGACCAAAGTGGCTGCATACCTCTCGACACTGCCGGACGTCGTGGAGTGCTCCGTCGCGGAAGAAGCTACGTCGCCTGGTGTCGGCGACGACATCGAGGCGATGACAGTGGAACTCGCGACGACGGACCTGGCCGCCGACGTCGTGGAAGAAAAGCCTCAGACAAAAGGATGCGGCGACGTAGCGGCGTCACCTGCAGTAGGCGCGTCCGAGCAGATGCCTGGTTGCCTTGAAGCGGGAGTGTCCGAACCGCATGTCCAAGACGAAAACGAGATTGATGACAAAGCTTCTAAAGCCGCGGAGTCTTCGGCAATCGACGAAGTTGCGGCGGATGCGCAACGAGATGCGAGACGACCCCAGACGACACGGTCATTGAGGAAACGGCGCTCTCCGCAGGAGTCCTCCACTACAACGACGCAGGGGTCCTCGGATAGCGGGCGCTCGGAGAGTCTCGGCGAGGGTCCGAACAACAAGAAAGTCCCCCGGAAAAGGAGTCCGCCCAAGCAACATTCGCGGCGTGGCCGGAAGCAACGGTGATACGCGTTTTGACGACGTCGCGGGAATGGCGCCGTGACAGTACTGCCGTCTGTGCGACGTCCCCCAATTGTTACCTGGACCGACATTGTTTTCAGGGTGGTTCAAGAACTGCCTACATCTGTCACCCCGACGGACAAAGCGGCGGCGTGAGCCGTTTAAAAAACTGTGCCCAGATTTAGTCTATTTATAATTAACACTGAAGTGTCTTAGCTGCGAGTGTTGCACGAGCAAAGCAGGTTCTTTAAGTTATTTAGGTAGACCACGAGTCACTTCCTTTTCTCATTCTTGTGCGGGGTTGTGCATAATGCAGCTATCAGAGTTTTGGTGTGGACGTAACGCGTGAATTGGAGCTGAAGGAGGTATACCGGAAAACCTCCAGCAGGGTTTTGATGGAAGCCCCTTGGGGAAACTCGGCTGTCCGAGGCCTAAAATGCTCACGTACAAAAATCGCATAATCATGCATCAAGTGGCTTTATAAGTCTTGTTTCTGGTGAGCTGGCAATCCAATAGAGGTCCAAGACTAGTATACTTAGAGGCTATCTGTACTTGCCGGGCAGACCCCTGAAGTGCACATTTTTTCTGCTATTTGAGAGATTGGAATTCTGCCAGGTGTTATTTGGATTTGAAATCTGTCTCCAATATCCTTCCTAATAGACACCTGTTGTACTTTCTAATCAGAGAGCTTGATATTCATTTAAAGATGCCACTTTTCTGTTTTTTAGTTGAAGTTGCCATTTATTTTGTTTTGCCTCAAGACCTCTGCAGATCTCATTTGTTTTCTACGATGCTGGTCTAGGGTGGCGGGTTTTCATCGAGAGGTATTCTTTCCCAGGGTACTTAATTAACAAGTCCTACTCCATACTTCACACAAGCTGTCTTCATGATCAAAAATGTGATTGCCATCACATTGACAGTTTATTGAACAGCCTTTTCAGCTGTTTATGGTTCAGCTGCTTATGCTTTAGCTGCTGTGCAAAAACTTGCTATGAAGCGTCATGCTCACGTGTGAACAACCGCGGGTCTCAGCAAATCTTGCCAATCGATGGTGCTTTGCATTGTGATATCAAACTTTTTGCTTTCGTTTTATTAGTGCAAACTATGTGCACTCGGCGACATTATTGTCCGAGGTTGTTGTTTAAAGAATGTGGCCCTAGAGCAAGTAACAACAATTTCTAAGTGACACACTCTGGATGTTGTGAGGTTTCCCAGATTGTATGCCAAGCCTTGCGTAGAAACGATTTCCAAATTCCGCCAGACGTCACGATAAACAGGCATTCTGTGTAATTGTATTGTAAGTTCACAAAAAAACAGCAAGTGCATATCTTTTTTTTTCTATTAATATATACAAAGTATTCAGAGGAGATGTTGTGGCATATTTTTAGAAGAATGCTACATGTAACATGCCCAGCACACTTTTTCCAAAGCTACGATTGACTTCTCAGGATTCCAAATCATTCGGTATTCGTAGCAATGCCCATTCTTACCTACCACTACCTGCGTGCCAATTTAACGACGTGTCTTTTAGCATTTATAGGTTTTGCAACCATGTTTCTAGCATTTTCAGCTAAGCGAATCACAGAAAGTGCCGACACAATGTTAAGGCTACGACGTTTACCCTGACAAATTCCTTTGGTGGTGTGGAGCTACGAAGAGACAAATCAGTGAGAATAGGGGTGAAAAGCACACGCCGGAACTAGGGTGTGCGTTTCCTAGTAGAGCCCCCGGGGTATTTTTGTACGCTCTGACTTGGCTTGTCAATGGTCTGTCTTTGGGAAGTGTGCATTGTCAACTTTCGAAGCTGGTGTAGTCTTGCCTTACAATGAACTAACTTTTATCCAATAAGGACGACTAGTCACAGTCCACAGGCAAGCCTTTTGTGGTTCCACGTTTGTAGACTTGAACACGTACATACTGCTTGAATTCAGCTGAATAACAATTGTGCGAAATGCGAAAGGCTAAACAGGCTACCATCTTTTTATCTTGGTGTGTCGCTAGTCCATTCATCATCTTGTGATAAGCTTGTTGTTAGAGTAACAAAAGTGTGCGTTATCTGCAGGCACAGTTATTTTTGCAGACTGGAGAGCTTTCATTTATTAACCCCCTGTGACTACGTGAGAATACATTATAGTATATATGTATACAGGTAGGTAGATAGAGATATATTATATAGATATATATTTCCTTAGAATCTCTGTGCCTGAAGTCTTGTACAGAGAAAAACCAATCAAAACTTGCCGAATCATTCCTGATGCTCTTACGAAGTGTGATCATAGTGACGGAACACCGTGACTTTTTATGTCTATATACCATGGGTGCAGTTGTGTAAATAATCATCATGTTCTATTGTTTTAAAAAGAGTATGGAGTGTAAAGAAGGTGATAACCTTATTTCTGTTTTTAGTCAACATTTTGTGTGCAGCCTGTGCTTCCACTCTTGAGAAAGTGTGAAATGGTTACTCAAATGTTTATATAAAATAAATGATTCATTTTCAGTGATGTACCTTGAAAACTCTTATTGACGTCTCCTTGCACTTCGCTGGTTGATTGCTCATATGAAGTCGTATGTTCCTGGATTTTGCTTGAGTAGTTCATGGTTGACAATGACAGACTTGGTGGTGTGAGAAAAATTGGGATGATCAAACATTCAATGCATGAAAGTTCAATGGTCTCCCTCAGTTCCTTTAGAATGACTCCACAGAGCACATAAAGACAAAATAGGATCTCAATACACTTGAATTAATGTGTCATCACATATAGCGATACATATTGGCCTTACACAGGCCACTGCCAAGAAACTTTGTCCACTTCTCTGGGGCCTTATAATCTCTTTCGTTATTAAAGCAGGATTGCATTCCTACTGAAGTTAAGGCTGATGTAGCCTTGAAAAGTGAAGCGTGTCACGGTCAGAGTTGGCCGGCTGCCGAACACCAGCGCCGCGAGCTCCGCCGTCCACACACGAAACTGTGAGTAAAAGAAAAAAGAAAAAGGCAGAAGGAGGATTTCGAGACGCTTCGAGAAGACCTCACCAGCTGCGAAAACAAGAAAAAAGGAGTATGTGGCAACGCTAGACACAAGCGTCGCGTGACTCGTAGGCGGTCTGCTGCGTTCCTCATAAGTAGGGTTCCGCGTTTTCGGTTTCTATTGTTTCAAAATTCGGCATACTTTTTTCGGTGTTTACTTTAAAATTCAATTCTCGTTGTTTTTTTTTTTTTTGCGTATATTTATGCCCACAAAATTTTATTGGCTTTTTTTTTTTGTGAATATAAAATAAACATCAACGGACACCGAATTAGATTATCCTTGTAGGTCTGATATTTGTTATCACACAACGATTAACGGCACAAATACATTGAAAAAGAAATGGACACTTTATTTGGCAAATGTGCAACTGTAAAAGAATCAAGAAAAAAACATAAGTACAAACAAGTCAGATATGAAGCCTATGCCCAAAAAACATGGAACTTCACCTTCTGTATATTAGGATTACGTGATCTTATTATAATACACGCACATGTACTTTCCCAGGTTCTCCTCGTTGATCCGCACTCTTTCTTTCCTGTTAATATGACCCTGAGCTTCGAGAATGCCCTCTCAACGCTAGCACTGGACACTGGCAGGCTGAGGAGATGAAGCGCTGCCAGAGCCAAAATCGACCAATCAACCAATTGTGACCGCAAAAAGAGACACGGTGCGACGTTCTGAAGCCATGCAGAGCTTGCATCAGGTCAGTCTTCCTTAGAGCGAGTTTGAAAATACGCTCGTACATGGCGAAGTCGTGGGGCATTTCGGACTTCACGTTCCGACCGATGATGCGCACATTAAATCGTAACGTCGTGATGGCATCCGTGTGTTCCATTCATTCGGACACGTTTCGATAGACACTGTCGTTCCGGTCGTTCCACTTTTTCGCCACGGCTCTGCGGTACGACTGGAAGGTCAAAGTGACCTTTTCCGGTTAATAGCGAGTTCGTTTCACGGCACTCGTGCCCACGCGTGCCCACTCGCAGCGTGGAACGGGTTCGTTTCGGCCGGCACTCCACGAGTGGTTGCACTCTCCGAGTTCGTTTCAGCGCTGACACCACACGCGTGCATGCACTCGCTGCACCGAGAAAATCGGGAGTGCGCCAAAATGCAATCCCGTCATGCCTCGCTCCGGCGGGGCCGGCGAGGAGCGGGAGCAGACGAGGGTTCGTCTGCTACGATGTGTCGCGGAACCGAACGGAACAAAAAGTAGATTTTCTGATAGAAATCGCGTCCCGCGGGCCACGGCATCAAACGCGAGCTTGAATTGTGAGCGTCTGCTATTTCCCGAAGGAAGTAATTGACAACCCGTGATTTATTTGCAGGTTTTAAATCGCTCTGTTGCCGTACAAACGCTGAAATATACCACTGTGTAAAGAAATGCTCAGAACAAACGTAACAGCGGCCCCCGAGATGTCTATCATCATCCGTGTGCGGGTGGAAAATTTAACATTTGTCGGCAAAACTCCCCCAGCAGAAACCTCTGTCTGCCCAATAAGCATCAGAGAAAGCTAAAGATGGTAACTTTACCCGAGGATTGGGCAACATCATCATGTTTAACATTTACCTACGTCAGCTAACTTGCCCCGTCGTATTTTGTTCGAGAAAACTCTCGTTCTTGACGCCCTCACCAAGGCTAATTTCTGATCCATCTATAATGACGATCCAAATCGAAAGTCCCAGTTTTGCTGGATATTCCAACAGGCTAGTTTTAAGCCGTACCCTTTCAGTGGTTCACGTATAATACCATGCTCAAGCGGATCAAGCTTCTGCTCGGACAGCATCATCAGTTTTCTTCAGTGTAAACGGTTTAATTGAAAGATCGTAACCAGCTGCTTTGTATACAACTGGGTGCTGAAATTTACGCCGTCTGTAACTATCTCTACGGCAGCCGAGCTGCTTGAAGTCATCGCAACTATAAACTACAGGTTGCAGCGACCAACGTTTGTAGATAAACGTTGGTAGCCGACTGCATTCTCGCATTCCCACGCATCACTCCGAACAGAAAGGCGCTAGTTTCGGTTTGAACTCGGTACCTTTTCTACAACATAGATGGCGGCAACATCAGTCTTCTGCACTCGGTGCATTTGGCGAGTTCGTTTGAGTCCAGTTTTCCGTGCAACACTCTGCGAGTGCGATGCATTCTGGGAGAGAACTCGAACGGTGCCAGTGCGTGTGAAACGAACTCGCTATAAAACAGAATTTTCGAAAAATGCATTTGACATACTTTTATTTGTTTAAATCGAAAATGCCGAACCTAAAAACTGACCTTTTTCAATTAAAACTGAATTTTCGAAAAAAAAAAAAAAATCGGCGTACTTTTATCGGTTTAAACCTTAAACGGTTTAAACCGAAAACTCCGAACCCTACTGGGTGTTTTCATCTCAATCGGGCAGGCTAAAAGGATCTAATTTTTCATTTTGACAAAAAGAAAAAATATATATTTTGAGGGCATTTCTCAAATGAAGGAGGTCGCAAACCATATGTTCCCCAGATTTTTTGTTCTCGAGTTACGAAGCGTAGAGAAAAGAGTCAAAGTACAGGCTAGCTGGTGGAAGTCAACCATTTCGTCGTTTACCCTGAGACTGGGGGGTTTTTTTGAAGAGCAGAAGAAACAGAAAAAACAGACAGGTCTCAATTCTTCTGCTCTTCAAAAAACCCCCCCAGTCTCAGGGTAAACGACGAAATGGAAGCGTAGAGGCCGCAATGCCAAAAACGAGCGTTTTTGCCCGCAGTCGCAGGTCGCGAGTTTGACACCCTCTGCTGGTGCCAGTGTTTTCCCTACATTCTTTTAACTTTCTCCCTCATTTAATAGGTACTATAAAGATACCCTGACGGACTGAAATGTTTTTAGAAAATGTATTGTTTTCTAAAAAAATGTCAAGCTCGTCACTCAGGTCGCTTTATCGTCAACCTCGACAGGTCATTACTTTGTCTGTACTTAAGGTACATTTTCTTTCTTTAGCTCTATAGAAAGCCCTACGCATGCCTAGTATAGCTATAATAATATCATTATGGTCGGTTAAGTAACCGCTCCGCTACCTTCACGTAAACGTTGGGAAAAATAGCAAATGTTGAAAGTTTAAAATTGATTTTCTTCAAAACCCTATTTTTGTACATTTTTATTTTTTAAATTCTTTTAGATATAATAGTCGACTACAAGAAAAAACAATCTAGAAATGTAATATTTTGGTTGCATATCTTCTATTTGATCCGCAACCGCGTGAAATGTGTGCTCATTTGACTAAAATCCACGCGATAGCGGCTCAAATAGAGAACATACAACCAAAATATTACATTTCTGGATTGTTTTTTCTTGTAGTCGACTATTATATCTAAAAGAATTTAAAAAATAAAAATGTACAAAAATAGGGTCTTGAAGAAAATCGATTTTAAACTTTCACTAACAAACCTAAAACTGGCATTGTGCGCCTTTTACGACTTCGAAAATATGTTTTTAATTTTGTTTACGTTTTCAAAAAGGAATGTAAAGTAGGCGAACTTGTGATATTCATTGTAATTTAAAACTTTAAATAAGAAAGAAACCGCACACTACAAAACAATGAGTAACATGTATATACAAATCAAAAGGCAACGCAACATGACAAAAATTGTTTCTATATAGAACGGTTCAAAGTAAACGAGGATGGCTACTCATTACCCAGCTTATTACGATCGAATGATACGTTCTCACATTATTAAAATCTTGTACATAAATCTTCTGGAATTTCCTTAACGAGTTTCAAAAGTGGAAAAATAAAATAAAAAAATACACTCCAGACTTTAACAGACGCGCCCAGCGAAGAGCCGCATGGCTTGAGAAAGCGCATATGAAGTCAACGTGCCGTCATCTTGTACTCCAATTTTGCTGAAAATTGCAGTGTCGTGATGTGCCCCCTTTGCATTCTTACTTTCAGACTAGTTTTCCACCAGTTTTCGAGATTATCTCCAAAATTTTAGGTGGGCATTTGCGCGGTATTTTACGTAATGGCCTGCATGTGCTTACATATCTAGGGCAGCTTCGTAAGACTAACTAACAAATAAAGTTCCCAACAACGCAAAAAAAAAAAAAAGTGCGAGTTGTGCATTAACTTGTTTTTCTTTTGACCGTACCAAAAAAACGGCCACGGAGATTTATATACCAAGACCTTTGCCTTGTTTTAGGTAAGCAAAGTTGGAAGAAATTCTGAAATTTCCACGAAAAAAAGCTTTCCGTGTCTTCAAAAAGAAAAAAAAAAGGTGCCTTTTTTACCCACAATGTGTGAAGTAAAAGTGATAGCCGTAACACGTTTGCGGACACCGGGATCCTCACATCGCCGTTTAAGCCTCAGAGATAATATAGTAAGGGTGCAGGCGGAGCTGGTGAATATTAACCATGTTGAATAAACCTGAGACTGCGGCAGAAATGAATATATAAGTCGAAGGAACAGAAAAGGACAGGACGACGTCTCAAAATCAGCTGAGCTTCAGACGTCGTCCTGTCATTTTCTGTTCTTTTGACGTATATGTTCATTTCTGCCCTAGTCTCAGGTTTATTCAACATGGTTAACATGTCTAAGTCTCCTCTATTTCGCGCTGTCGTGCTGCCTTCGCGCGGCGGCGCCATTAGGAAGGGTCTGCGGCCGATGACACAAGCGAATGCGCAGGTTTTCCAGGCGTTGTTGAGCGGTGAAGGGAAGGGGTAATGTTGGCGTTCAGCGATGAGCGGATGAGAAAACTGTCAGAGTGGCCGCTCGGAGAAAAGTAAACTCAGTTGCTGTAGCTTTTTTACAGCGGAGCTGTTAAAGGGGCCCTGCAATCATATTTAAGCGTCTACCTTTTTTGCGGTTTCCACGTCTCTTGGGGTGGGGGCAAGCCAGCGGGCACGGAGAGAGTAACTAAATATCAGTGCGTCATATTTTAACCGGACGACGCGGAAACCTCCTCCACCGACGAGAGCGACCCGCGGTACCGAAAGCGCGCAAAATGTGACGTCTTTGGTCCTGGGCTTGCCACTGGTCAAAGCCGCTAAGAGCTTTTTTTTGGTCGAGATACAAAATAGAAGTGTCACGATCCGTTTCAATTATGTATGAAAGTAGTTTTTGTTCACTATTTTAGATCAGAAAAGAAACAAATGCAGTTTAGAAAGTACGGAAACGAGAAATGACCCGTCGACATACCCGCCACCAAGCGGCGGAAAAAAACGGCGCATACTAGAAAAGGGTAGTGGGATGAGGCTACGACAAACGAGGAGAGTAGAAAGGTCCCGGATGTACGCGGCGGCGCTGTGGTCGTATACCGGCTCAAGAATCTGACCGGTTCCGAGCGTTCCGAAGGCTTTCGGCGCGGGCCCTGTTGGCGATTTGGCCATTTGGCGGTGCGTCAGCGCGAAGTGGCTCCCGTTCTGAACTGATCTTTATCCCGTGTTTGCTGTCGTTTGTGGCCAATGAAATGTTATGCCGAATTAGTGTTTAGTCGCGCTGCAAATGCAATACGAGCTGCCCAGGCCGCCCGCTTCATACAGCTTATCCAACACGTGCTTTAGTGGCGCCCTCTCGAGCCGTCGACACGGAGTGCGGCAGCCGTATGCGCTCGATGAGCTCACTACTCCTCCTCTAGTTCAAGGCCGCTCAAGGCAGGACCTACGACGTCATGAAGGAGGTTATTTTTTGCTTGTTTTTGTAATTCTAATTTGCCTATAACTTTTAAAATAAAGCGAAATTTGAGAAAAGAAAAGTTGGATTAAGTTACTACGATCAGTACGCTCAAGTTCAGTGCAAATTAAAAACCAGTCAAAAAGTCATTGCAGGGCCCCTTTAAGGGCCAGGTTCCCCAGGATCGTGTCCGGTCTCAAACTCCTGTCGACAAAAACCTACCTGGACAGCTACCTCCACCTATAGACCTTTTCTGTGTACTCTCGTCCCCAGCCGCCAAATAGGCGTATCCGGTATGGGCGACGAAAAAATAATAAAACGTTTCAACCTGTAACCAATAAAAAAATAGAGGGGAGCCAAAACGAGAATGTGTGACGGTTACGCTTATATCCTAAATGCCTTCTATTGGCGTGGCGACGGCAAAACAATGTTTTCGCCCATACTGGAAGTGACGACAATTCAAGATGGCGGCATCAAGCACACAACCAGTCTCGTTGCCGCCGTCGCTCGTAGATGGCAGCAACCTTTCCTGCTATCATAGAATAATAGATAGTTCGGCGTGTTGGTGGGAATTCATCGTAGGAAACAGTGCGAAAAACAGACGAGCACAAAGAAGAGGCACAGGTAACGAGCGCAGCGCTCGTCACGTGTGTTACTGCATCCTCGTCTGTTTTGCGCACTGTTTCCTACGCTCTTACCAGTGTCGGTTCGGACTTAGGATGGGTCGGCCGCGCGCCCCTTCGGGGAAAGAAGACTGGCTGCGGAAGGAGCAGCGACGTACGCAGCAGCGCAAGTGGGTCCGCGACCGCCGCAAAGCCGCTGTCGCCTCGACTTCCACTGCGTCGAGCGCTTCAGATTCCCTTGTCAAAGAAGAGCACATCGCTCGCCTGGAAGCCTCCGCCGAGAACAGAACCAATGATGCAAAGGGCGCCGGCGGGCCAACTGCAGTCCACGCCGGCTGAACAGTTCCCGGGCGCGACGGCGAGGTTTCGAAGGGAGTTCGTGGATTACCCGTTTGGCGTCACGTGCGCCGTGTGCGACCGACTCTGGTTCGCCGGAGACGTATCCACGATCGGCGGCGTGTCGGACGAGAAGAAACGGGCGCGTGCGCGTTGCGGCATCGTATCGAGTGCAGCTTTGCTGGTCTTCCTTCTTCACGAGAGTGGAAAGGCTGAACGTTTTTTACTTTACAAAGTTTGAACTAGTGTAGCGTTTAGCTACAGCGAGTGGAACTCTGGAATAATAAATAAAAACGTGCTCTCCTGATGCAATACACGGAGTGGTTGAGGATAGTACTACCGGCTGACTCCAATGCTACTGAATTAACGGAAGAAAGATACGCTAGTTCATCATTTACTGAAATAAAACAACAAAGCTCTATAGGCTGATTTTTGAGGAGCCATAAATATTCTAAGAACGCGAACCACTTCACGACGGCAGCCACGAGCGAGAGTTCGATGTTCGGTACAGCTCGCCGGTACAGCCCAAAGATGGATAACGGCAAACTCCCAGTTTTGTCGTCTGCTAGCGGAATCGTGATCGTGCCCGCCGAACCTGCTGAACTTCCCGGATGTGTGGAGAGGGCGCTGCGGTGGAACAAAACGGCGCCGCCCTGAGAGCGCAATATGAAATGGTCTCTCTCTCTCTCTCTATATATATATATATATATATATATATATATTAGTCTATGCGTTTCACAAATACCTCAATTTTATACGCCTCTGGAGAACGTGAGATTTCAACTTAAAATTAAACACTCGAGAGACTGCCACTTCGGCAAACTTAACAAGACAGCGCACCTGCGTCACGCAGGCATAAACATGCATAACCAAGTATGCTGCTCACTCCTGTAGCGTTTATCTCGCTCGCGCTTTCTGTTAAAACAAATAGTCGGCGAGTGCTGACAGAACACATGTCAGAATAAGCGTGGCTTGGTGGAGTCCCGTCGGACGGGACTTGAACGTTCCGCAAAAGTTACGTCGAATGGCACTCTAGACACGGCGAAAAACAAATAGGACGGAGCACAGAATATGACATCTTTCATGAAATATGTCATATTCTGTTCTGTGTTGCGTCCTATTTGTTCCTTCGTTCGCGTGTAAGATTGAGCCTTACCAACACGCCCTTTTTTCATTAGTACAAAAAGAAGCGAAACATTGTTCCTCCGTAACACAGTCGGAAAAATTATTCGGTGAGCAAGTTCGTCTGCTCCTTGCGCAGGGGCTGCGGTGACGTAAGAAAGACGCTGAGCTGTGATTGGCTCTGATTGAAGGATAGTGGGTAGACCTCGAAGCAAGCTGCTTGGAGGTCTACCCACTATCCTTCATTCAGAACCAATCAGAGCTCAGCGCAGCACGCAGGCACGTAGCCAGGGGGGGGGGGGGGGGCATGGGGCCCGCCCCCCCCCCCCCCCCCGAAATCTTCCATCTTGCTAGGGCCTCCTCTCCCCCCCCTCCCCCTCATACACCATTTTGTCATAACCGGCCCTTCCTCCCCCCCCCCCCCCCCCCCCCCCCCCGCCTCGCCCCCCCGAAGCAAAATCCTGCCTACGTGCCTGGCTCAGCGTTCTGACGTTGCCGCAACCCCTGCAAAAGATGCAGACGAACTTGCGCTCCGTATTATGATTGGAGGGTTGGAGCGAAGCGGCTGGGGCCGATGACGTGTATACATCGTCGGCCTCGTCGCAAGAGCCATCGTCGTAAGTTCAGGCGAACGCGATCGACGTTGCCAGTGAAGCTGGGCTGTTCATACTTCGGCATCGGCAAGCCTTGTTTTACGCGAGCGTGCTTGCGTAAAACAATGTTCGTCGTCCAGTTCGCAGCGCCCCGTCATAATCCAGCGCGGGAGGCAAAAGGCTGCACCGTAATATATATATATATATATATATATACTAGAAAAAAACAGAAATAACAAGGCCACATAACCATTTATTTTCTACCAAATGTAAAGGCCCGTTCACACTCTTGCGACCGAGAGAGATTAGACCGGTTTTTAAGCCTCTTACGATCTCTTAGGACCAGTTCCGCTGCAGTGCATCCGGTCCTAAAAAGTCGCAAAAGGCTTAAAAACCGGTCCGGTCTCTCTCGGTCTTACTCGGTCGCAAGAGTGTGAACGGCTTAACATAGAAGTCCGCGAAGTCCCGTCCAGACGATTTCGGTGTTATCGGTGATTTGGCGGCAACCATCTCTTTTGGCGCAACGCGCAAGAGTCGAAAGCGTGGACACCGCGCTGCGCGTGCGTTCTCTCGGATGCGGCTCAGGCGCGCTGTTCTAGTGCAAATGAGCGGTGTGGGATTTTGCGCCTTGTTCCTACGCCACGTGAAGTAGTTCCTACGAGATTTGGTTGTCGAACTAAGAAGCGATGCTTTTGGCTTTTGACACGTGTACGTCTTGATAAGATAACAGATATATAATCTAATATACATTTACATATATCTTAATCCTCCATGTAAAGGGGGAAGTTAGTAATGCTCAATGAGGAGCCGGACCTCTTTTTTTTTACTACGGCTCTTGAGGCGAAAACGAGTATTTGGCTCACCTCGCTCTTTTTCTTTTCGGGTTACGTGGTAGATGCTGCGGGGACAAGAAAGAGTGTACAGGATCTTCCCATGATTCGTTGCGCACCTTGAGTGCGGCCCTTTGGTGTATTTTCGGCTGCGCTCGCGGATATATTGAACATTTTATTTCCAATAGGGCGCCGTCTGGCACCGACTCTTCAACACTGTGGTGAACGAAGCTCGCCGGAACCGGATGGACTCCCGAACTGACCAAGCGCGAGCGGCAACTGATCGGCTCGGTCCAGCACGAAGTACAGGAAGGGTCGGTCGGCCTGGAACGAGGCTGCTCCTCCGGGTTTTGGCGTGGGCGTTCGGCTGATCGTTCCAGGCCGGGCGCTGGGACTCACTGTGACAGCCACGCCGTTGAGCATGTCGGACACGAAGACGTGGCCGTGCTTGCTCACGGTGCCCATGTTGCTCTGGAAGCGGTCGAACATGTAGCTATGCCCCATCGCCATCAGGGAGGACTTGAGTCCGCAAACGGACTTTGCCTGTGGATAAATGAAAACATTCCGAGGACACCTAAGCACTTCTTATGAGTTGTGAATGCGAAAGCATGAATGTTGTTCTTCCGGTCCCTTATTTCGTCTGCGGCGTACTAACGTGGACGGCCACGTTTCGCTACTGCCGAGGTTGCGGCCGACGGCCGAGCGCGCGCTCTCCTGAAGTGGCCGCGCCGCGCCGAGCTCGGCCGTGCAGCCTCTCCGGAGTTTGCTCAGGCGGGCTCTGCTGGCTCTGTGACCAGCCGCAGAGCCAGCGGAGCTTACCGGCGACCGGGCCGCTGCGCTGCCATAGAGAGGGCTTCTCTATGGGGTGGCGTTCCTTGGAACTACGCCGCGGGGCAGCCAATGGGAGCCTCGTTCCTTGAAACTATGTCGCGTGCCAGCCAATGGGAGCCTATCGATCAAATCGCTGCTACGGACGACAGGCTTCGCTCCATTGGGACAGGGGAGTTTAGGCGCCGTTTTGTACGGCTTCAAAAGCTAATAACGCCGGTTCGCTCCATAAGACCCAGTTAATGCTTTCACATTAAAACAAAAACAACTGCCCGTGGTTCGACGCGCCGGACGGCTGCTTTGGTAACTGAAGTGTATTCTATGGGATACGTGCGTTTCGAAGTGCAGCGTCTAGATGGCGTTCCACCGTACTCTATGGCGCACACAGTTCGTAAACGAAAATCTAGATGGCACTTCGAACGACGGAAGGCGGACTGAAGTGAGGGGGGGGGGGGGGGGGGGAGGGGGTACCCCTTCCGCGGGAGTTCCACAACTGAGGTAATCTAGTAATGTTGCTGCTGACTAACCGTGACGTCACGTAACCACCATGATGTCTCCTGACGTCATATTTATTTATTTAAATACCTTAAGGACCCCCATAGGGGGCATTACATAAGGGGTGGCATACCACAAACATTAACAAAAGAAGGGTACAATGTCACAAAATGTCGCTTGACGTCATGGCGCACTTGACGTAGTGCTATCATGTGCCGTGACATCACAACGTTACATCATGGTGTCACGTGACGTCGCTGTCACGTGACATCATGGCGTCACGTGACGTGACGCCACTTTTCTACAGCACGTGACGTCATAATGTCACTGACGTCACAACGTCAAGTGACGTCGTGATGTCACAGGACGTCACGTCACGTAAAGGTATCACGTGCCGTAACATCACGTCATGGCATGGTGTCATGGCACACGGTGTCACGACATCACGTGATGTAACGGTAACACGTGCCGACATCACAATTCCATATCATGGTCTCACCTGGCACCGTAACGTTTAACGGAGAAACTTGCCCGCTAAATTTAGCGGATACATTGTTACGCTATGTTTGGCTGAGAAATTTCCCAGCCACGACGACCCTACATGAAACAGACCTGGGGATCCGCTCTGAAACCTTGCCTCTTGTGCGTGCGTGCGTGCGTGCGTGCGTGCGTGCGTGCGTGCGTGCGTGCGTGCGTGCGTGCGTGCGTGCGTGTGTGTGTGTGCGCGCGCGCGCGTGTGTGTGTGTGTGTGTAGGGGCTGTCGGGTCGTCGCTGTAAAAAATGCTTTGTAGAGGTTTTCTTTGTTTCCGCATTGAAGATATCTCTTTTCAATTCCAGTTCTGTCAAAGCAGCCGATAGGAACAGCCCTCAACAGGGGATTTCTTCAACAACTGAGAATACCTAAAAAAATGGTAGTAACTAAAATTAAAGGGGCACTGACACCCCAAAGGTCGTATTTATTTTTATTGTCTAAAACGATGCAAGTTGCAGTCATAGACACGCAAAAAAAACCGCATCGCGAAAAAAAATTTTCCCGCGCGCGCGCGCGCCTTTTTATTTTTGGCGTTTGATTTTCCCGCGTCTCGCCTCCTCGCTTCTTTTGATCGGTGACGTCAAAAATCAGGAAATTTAGAAGCTTTGTAGGCGACATCTCTATAACATTTAATTACGGCAATCCTAAAACATGTTTTTTAATGCAATTGCGAACGCAGTACGGCCCTTCTTTTTGAAATACCAAAAATCGGGAGTTCGTTGTGGTGCCGTCTCCTGGATTTGTATCCTCCAACGGAAAACAGGCGACACCGCTCAAAACCGGTCCGCCGCAACGCCGGGCGCTCGCTCCTTTCCTCCTCGCTTTGGGTCGCCATGGCAACAGCAGGGAGTGGTGAAAGGAAGTCGACTCTCAGGTCTCCGCGATTTTTGACGTCAAGGCACCGGCGCCGATCGCGCGGGAACTTCGAATTCGGCATTTGGAAATTGTTTTTTTACTTCACGAATACTGAATTCCCAAATCTCAAATTTTGAGGGTAATGTCCCGGCATCGTTTTCAATCGTTTCGGATAATAAAAAAAAATATGATTTTGATGTGTCAGTGCCCCTTTAAAGAACTGTTTCCTTCGGACCAACGTTATCGACCGCGGCCGACGTAGGTAGTACATGGGGCTAATATACCAAACTGCAAAGAGTGTAAAGTGATAAGCATATTAGTTATCTAAAATATACTAATCCTAATCTTTAAAAATGCACATGCATCGTCAAAATACGTCATAGATGTTGGAATCCAAACTATTAAATTCTGAAGAAGTGGTAGCGCAGAGGAAGAGGATGAGTGGAAGTAGTAAACAGGGCTATTGATCCACAATGAGAAACCTTGAGACCAGGAACAGAAGGGACAGGACAACACCGTCTCATAACCAGCACAGAAAATATTTAATTAAGGACTAGCTACTTCCTTGTTCGCTAAAACACATCCACAAGTCATCTGCAGTTCTACATCGTGAAAGTCTAAATTAAGCACTCAACCACAGACTTAAAGGCAACATGAAAAGTTAGCTGCACACCATCAATTATACATGGTAAAACCATGACTACCTGCAGAAGCAACGGCGTGGGAAGCATCATTACAAAAAGAAGACAAACACTACACTACCACAGGACAGAGGGGGATTAGAAGGACAAAAACACCAATGTCTTCGACGGACAAAAAGAAGAGAAAGATGTCGAGCACACTCAAATACCACAAGACATAAAATCAATGAGAATAAACACACATTCACCACCGCACGACACAAAGGAACTAGACATACAAAAACGTCCGTGTCTCATCGTCCGAAGTCAGTGACGGCATACTTATGCAATTTCCAGCTCGCGTAATCCTAATAGTTTCCTTAATTATCGTCTTATAAGGATCTTTCTCTTTGTTAAGGACAGTCGTTTGCGTCCAACCTGGGGAAAAAAATTACAATATTACAAAGGCCAACGTGTTTCACAGTTTAATATTTGACAGAACTTAACCGTTCTTTTATGTTCTAAAATCCGGTCATTTAGGCAGCGTCCGGTTTGGCCAACATACGAGAACCCAGAGGCCATTGGAATCTCGTGTACTAGTACCACCTCGCAACTAGGAACTGGATCTCTTTGGGGTTTCTGTCAACCAAGCTTTCCACCGCAAAAAAAAAAAAAAAAAAGAGTTAACTTATTTAACTTGAAATCATTGTTAAAAACAACGCTTACACCATAGCTTTCTGCCAGGGCATCTAAATTGCGAGAAAAGAAATGAAAGAAAGGCGCACACACGCCCATTTATCAGGCTTCTTCCGCGGTTCCATAATCTTACCAAAACTAAAAAGAACACTTTTTGACACACTCATTAGGACAACCGAGTTAGGGCCTGAAGTGGTCAATCTCGACATTTTAAAATTTAAACTTTCATGAACGTAAAGACTTATTTAGGGCACTTGTGAGGAACAGACCTTACTACACCTCTTTAAACTGCTTTCGGGTGGCAGCTTTGAAAGGTAAACAACGGCTCAGGTGCAACTTCGACGTAGTTCCAGCACAATCCTTGGGAATAAAAAAATTTAAATCTAAAAAATAAGCAGACATCCAGTTGTACAAATTTTTCTAGTGAAGAAAATCTTTGGTGATAGTTGCTTTAAAAGGAAATTCGATGAAGCACATCTGATCCTAAACATAAACAATAAAAAGAATCATCTATATAACTTTTGATTAGTAGTACACTGTTCGGCAATATTGATTGCACTTTTAAATCCACTTCCTGGTTCAATACAGCTAAATAGATTGCAGAGAGTAACGGTGGTCGACATCTTCCTCTTTTTTCTGTCCATCCAAAACACCAGTGTTTTTGTCCTTCTAGTCTCCCCGTGTCCTGTGGTCGTGTAGTGTTAGCCTTCTTCCAGGGATGGGCAGTATTTCAAACATAAGTATTTGAAATACATATTTCAAATACTTTGTGTATTTTGCATTTGTATTTAATTACAAATTGGGTAATGTATTTGACTGTGTATTTAAATACTAAAACGTAGGTATTTAAAATACAATTGTAATTAAATACAATTTTGTGGGCAAAAATACATCCCTCAAATTTATTGTCACGACTCATTTTGTTCATCCTTAAGGGGTGTCCAAACAGGACACTACAAAACGCACGACTCCGACAAATCGTGAAAATTGAAGCGGGCTTGAAGCGGGCGCGTCCGCTTCAATTTTCACGATTTGTCGGAGTCGTGCGTTTTGTAGTGTCCTGTTTGGACACCCCCTAAGACGTGTCCAGAGCAGGAAGAAAACTACGTTCTGCACCGAATGCAGTGTCTCTCAATCAAGCACAAGCGTTTAGTGACTTTGTGATTACGGTGCTAGTGCAGGGCGAGAATAGTGACGAAATCGACGTTCACAGGCAGACTGGCTAAATAAGTGCTTGTGACAACTTGTGATGCTTTCCAGCCTGATTTTCATCCATATTTTTGCCTGGAACATTCTAAATGCGCGGGTCGTCCAGATTTTCGTAACTGGTGCGAGTTGCAACAATAAAAAACTCTCTGGCTAGTGCTGCGCGTCTTTGTCGTCTCAGTTCTTTGTTGGTCTATATCAAAATGTAATTGACAAAAAAAGCTGCTTGAAGCTCTGTACATTTTCACCTATTACGTCCAAGCTGATTACATTTTTTTTTTGTTATTATATTTCTATTACGTTACCAGAGC